TTATGTCTCATCCATTTTTTAAAATGTATTTTCTAAAATCCTTTGATCGGGGAGCGAGCTGATCTAGTGGTAGACCCGGGTCTTTGGTCCCCGAGGTCCCTTGTTCAAATCACCCTCTTGGCCTAATCTGAAGTAATGTGTGATCTACATTGGAAGCGGAATTTGACGGTCTTGGCAGGTCTGACCGAGTCTGTTGGAAACAAACACATGTAGCGCAGTCTCACCTCCTAAACTGGCACGGATTGTTGTGCCGGGAGAAGGAAAGGGTCAGAGCTTGTGGGAAACGAATCAAAATAGTTTGTTTTTTCATACGATCAGACCAGACCCACTTGTTCGAAACTGTGACCGAGGTTGGTGCATAGTTGATGTTATTCATTTTGTCTGTTTGTTTTTGAGATTTTGCTAAAATGGTTGACAAAGGAAAGTTGATTGAATTAGTGTGTGAGAAAGTCGCCATTACATAAGAAAGTATTAAAGTATTAAGTGGCTTTGTGGAACCACAATCTAAATTGTCCAATAACATTAAATCAAAAAGTTCCTCATCCATTTTTCAAACCCAAAAGAATAACAAAAAACTAAACAACAAAAACTAAGGTAAAGTTGCTTAACTAAAAGCACAAAATTATAAACAAACAAATTAACAATCAAGTTCAATAACAACAAGTTAAAGTTTAATAACTTAAACAACACAAAAATGCTTGGCCATCAACTCTGCTCGCTGTGTGCAATCTAGATATATAATTCCGTAAGTCAAATTTTTGTAAAGAAATTGTGAGTGACTGGATGGCCGTAGAAGGATGGGAGGGGTCTTATTTTAAAGGTTTTGACGTGAATTTTGAGGGGAAACTATTCATTTTTCTTAATTTTTTACCATAAATTCGCAACATAATAAAACTTTTCCCATTAAAACAACATGGGGTTTAATTTGTTTACATCTTTTGAAATTAAAACAGAAGTCATTTACTGCTGATTTCTGTTTACTTCAATACAGCTGATCGTGCTATATCTTGAAAACAGTGATCAATACACGCATTTGGTTTACTTTTAGCCAGTCAACTATGAAATGTATACTATAATAAAACTGAAATCTTGAAGATTAATCGGAAAAACGTCTGCATTCTTTGTTTATATTTAAATCATATACTCAAGTTTCATTTTTTCATGTGATGCATTTACTTAGGCCTACTTTTTCTACACTCAGTATTCCAACCAACCAACACAAAATAGTTTACTTTACTTTTATTAGGCTCGTAATACGTGTACGCTTGGCAGCACTTAAAGATACTACAACTACGATCACTTGATGCAGTATTCCTCATTTCGTGCAACACTTGGTTTTAACTTTAACCTAATCTAAAAACGTGTTGTATAGTGTTTGGAAGACTAATTATTTATATGCTTTAACTGTAGGAAAAATATAACGTGTAACATGAGCGCAAATTGCCTTTGCTACACATCACTAGTTACACAAATAACTATTTAAGTTAACTTCATACAATTTTAAGAGTTATTTAACTTTTTAGTTAAATGTGTTTTATGTTGCAGATCAAACCTTATATAGAGAAAGCTGGTCATACAATTGTTCTTACATCAGAAAACATGTCAAGTTACAAACCTAGAAGTGACTTATCATCTTTTATCAGATCTCTCTCAACAAAGGCTTGTTCATTGAAAGCCCAAGCTCAATCACTAGAACTACCAAACACTATTTCTGGTTTCCCAGCTGCAGGTATTGAATAGTAGCCTACATAGGTATAAGTAAATGTACACCCTATATTGTTAATTTTTATTGACTTTCTCTGCTTCTATTTAATCAATTTGTTATTATATTAATTGAAAAGCTCTGCCAAACGGTGTTGCAAGTATAAGACCTGGGTATGAATCATCCATAAAAAAAAACATTTAAAAAGTCATAGAAACACGTAAAATACTAGAAATACCCCCGCCGCAGCAAACCTGCAGACTAAGCGAATTTCCATTTGACTGATTGGATTTACACTGAAATGTCTACTTAAAAATATAACATTTATTCTTGATTTAAATAGAATTAGTTTAACAAGTACTTAGGTTTGCTGCATCAGGGAGGGTAAAACTGTTTTTTTTTTTTTTGTAAAATGTGAATAGTTAGTAAGAAATAAAAACATTTTCCAAATTTGATCAAAATATGTTCACAAACAAGCAAACTACAACAGTTTACTTATTCTCCATAAGAATAACATGGGAATTTTAAATGTACAATTTTTTGGTATTTTCTCCGTAACCATTAGGCGCATAATAACGCTTCAATATACTAAATTATTTGTTTTTTTAAGCTCTACAAAATGGTTTGGAAAGAAATTGCTAAATTTTATGTTTTTTGGGTCAAAAATGGGAAAAACCTATTTTTACCCCATAAAACCCCCCGTAAACCCCCGTTCCCATGGTCCGATCATGCTGGATCGCGAACTCGTTCGAATAAACGTACGTTTACACGTTTGTACCAAATTTCATCAAAATCGGATCATTTTTGCTCGAGTTATCGTGCTGACGGACACATATATATATATATATATATATATATAAATATATATATATATATATATGAATTTGAACGGATGGTGTTTTTGGCCTCTAGGGACCTCAAAACGAAAAAAAAAATCGGTCCCGCGTCCAGGTCTTACCATGAGTACTACGGTAATAGCTTATTCCCTATATGGGAAATTCGCTAAAAGACATTGACTTTTTCTTTTTGTCACATTCCTTTTAGATAAATAACCAAACTAGATCTGCACAGACAACGTTCTATTTCATGTGATAAGGATGGAAACAGGGGTCTCTTCAATTAAAGAAAAGGTCACTTAAGCCAACCTGGTTTATTTATTTCCAGGCAGAGGCAGTTTATCGAAGTGACGGTCGAAAGATGGTATAGTAGAATTACCAAAAACTCCCCCAATTCCAATACCTATAAAATCCAAATTCCTAATATATTTTCTCGGACATTCATTTTCAATACTATGATCATTAATGGTAAGAAAAGATGCTCTTATTTACTCTTAGCTACGACCTTTCAGTTTTCTACAATAATCAGCTACTGACATCAGCAGACTCAATTTATAATGATATTGAGGTACATCGTTCCACTAATATTGTTGTTTTGTTCCAGTACTGTCTTGGTGTCAAGCGAAGAACAAAAGTGCCGTTGTCTACGTTCTCTACACAGAATCCTCGAGTCTTGACTCAATCTGTGCTCAGCCTGTCTTACAGATGCTCAAATCATCCCCTTTTGTGAAAGTGCCTCCATCATCTAATGAAAAACTCAAACAATTTATACATAGATCACAATTGCAATATTCCAATCTTTACCTGTAAATTCAATAAAGCATTACTATAAGATATCTATATATTTAATTCCATAAGCGAATCGGTCCCCACAAAATATCTCAGGCTAGAAAAAAGGTAGCATACCTGTTGAGGATTCATTTTAAAGCTGAAGGTCCACGGTGGAAAAAATATTATCGTCAGTGTTAACAGACAACACTCTAATAAATCCCTTCTTCATCCTGCACTTTGTTTCAATCATCTTACTTGTTTATTATTAAAAAAATATCCTAAAATTACTAAAGAAATGTGTTTTTGTGAGTGTCACTGATATTATATTGTTTATTTCCTTCCACCATGCTTCAAGACTTCCAGAAGACTCACCTGGTTGGGAATTTGGGACTGTAATATCGTCAGTGTTAACAGACAACACTAATAAATCCCTTCTTCATCCTGCACTTTGTTTCAATCATCTTACTTGTTTATTATTAAAAAAAAAATATCCTAAAATTACTAAAGAAATGTGTTTTTGTGAGTGTCACTGATATTATATTGTTTAAAGTTTCACTTGAATTTTATCAACCAGTTTACCCACTCTTATAAAAAACTATGATAAAAATAACACAAATACCAATTACAGTATCTGCAACGATACTAGAAAACAGTGTGTAACGTGCCACTGCTTAAGTTCAAAACCGAAAAGTAGTTAATTTGTATATCCTCTAAATCAGTGTAGTGGGGTCTTGTCTAAATAGACAAAAAATTCCACGTAAGACAAGATCATCTTCCACAATGACGGCAACGTCGATCATCTCCCTTCCGCGTAATGCTACAGCCACAGCGGCGTGAAAACAGAACCAACCATCAGTTGTGACGGATTTTATTATTCTATAAACTATACAGCCCGATGTGTCGTTATTATATAATTGTAATATCCCATTCCATACCAAGTTAAAAGTGCACTCATACAAACTTTTCTCCAGCCATCAAAACTCCTGAGTGACTGCACACTCTGGGCTGGTGTTAGTTGAATTTTTGGGTGTATCTATATCTTTGGAATGTCAACCGGTTTTTTGTAAGGAGACTGTCCAAACCCCGGCCGCCATTAATGAACTGATACCGCCATGTAATCTAATGGGACGTCTGGCACTAAACAAAAACACTACTTGTGATGTTGCCAATTCTACAAGGTCGTGGCCTGTAAGCCGTGGTCCAACCCCTGGGGCCCATTTCATAATAAACTACAAGTTACAACTTGTAACTTGTAATTTCCATTAGATTTGCATTGGGCGATCAGCTGATTTACTAATAATATTAGTTTGTACTTTATTATGAAATGGGCCCTGGTCTTATTATTATCTAGGGTCACCTTTTTGTTACAAACTAATGATAGCCCCAAGACAAAATTTTGTAATGACGTATGCGTATGGAAACTAGTTTTCAATCGAACCAGCTACCTTCATCCTTCCTTGAAGGCGAACACTACAACCACTCGGCTAGCCAAAAAATTAGACAAATATGGAAAGTATATTGAGATACAGACTTGTGTAGGTTTAATCAATGCCTAAATGGTCTTGACTCTCAAATGTTTGAGTTTCATGGTTGCGTCTGCTGCGATTGCCATATTGCATTGCAGCTGCACAGTCAGCTGTCAACGTCAACCAGTCATTGTTTACATCATTTTATTATGCGTGATGCTTCAATTCAATGCAATGGTAGGCATGCATGAACTTCTGTACAATGAATTGCCTACAAAATTACAACAATATTGCGTTTAAAGTGTGATTGTTTGATCGTGAAGTAATATATTTCATTTTGTGTGCAATTTAAAGATTGTAGGGTGCAAAATAATTGGTTAATTAACATGTTTTCTTAGACCACTGACATTGATTCTAACCTTTTTGGCAAGTCATGTAAGTACTGTTTGTATGTCTATTAGTTTAGTCTAAAGTTTTCTCAGTCTTAGGCTAAGCCTGAACAAAAAAATATATTATCCAAGCCACCCGATGCTTGTAGAAATATCCCCTGTATGTTTAATGATTTAAAGCCACGTTTGCATGGATTTTTTTTTTTAAATGACAATTCATAAGTTATTGCGTTTCAACACAGGCCTATCCCTAAGTTATTTGAACAAATCCTCTTGGGTACACTTTCAAATCTGTTGGCAGAAACAACCGAGTGAAAATATCGATCGATATATTGATTATTCTATATAACGTTTAGTTAGTTAGGTAAGGTTAACCTAACCTAACCAAACGATATATCGAATTAAACAATTGAATACTCAATATTACTCATTCGGTTGTTTGTGCCAACAGATATGGAAGTGTACCCTTCCCTACCCATCCTCTTAGAAAATGTAGATCCCTCTCAAAGAATACCTCAATGTTTTTTCCTAGTATCTGCCTAGGCTTAGTTTTGAAAATATGAATATAGGCCTAGGCCTAACTAGCCTACTTACATAGAATAGGCTACATATTGTACTTTTACGTTCTAAGTTATCTAATGTGGCTGAGTAAGTTTTAGCATTTGCCAAGGAAATAAAGCAGTTGCCTTATCTTGTCTCCACACAGTATACCTACTCCGAACTAACCAAAGTGGTTGGGACCGAGACTATACCTCGGTTAACAAGAATCTCGGATAAAACATAGGACAGAATTTTAAGTTAAAGCCTAACCGGTACTTAGATTTACATCACCACATTGCTTGGAAGTCAACAAATATAAAACGATTGAATGGGCAAATTAAAAAATGCTACCTATCATTAATATTGTGCGAAACCAACAATCTACTTATGTACAGTATTAACAAACTTACACTCAAACTAAAAATAGCCTACTTGACACAATCATGTCAGGACATCAAAGACAAAAACTGACAAAAGGCGATGTGAGCCGGTATATGTCTTAATGCCTAAGGTGAAATGCACTGCTATTGTTTACAATTTGCAGACCGAGTCATGCCAACGGTTAGCGGCCCATCTAGAACTGAGTTGAGTTAACTTATTCGTTAAAATAATTAACTTATTCGTTAGTAATGTGTGTAGGCTAACAATTATTTCAAGTGTGATTAAATAACCAATTACAAACTAATTGCTATTTTATTCACATAATTATTGTTTTCTGTCTGAAAATAAAAATATATATTGACGCCAATGACGCCTAAAAACACCTTGAATATAAGGCTCAAATAATCGGGGCTCAGGTGATTGATAAGTTTATGGTAGGCCTACTGTAAAGATTAGACAATAAAAATATCTATTTTAACCTAATATTTATAAAGATCATAAAATTAAGATAAATCAAAAAGGGGGAAAATGATTAATAATAAAATAATTAGCGGCGCTGCGTAGCGGTCACACAAGCGGCACTCGTAAGTCAGCACCAAAGGGTTAAGGCAAACAGATTGTGGCCCAGAATCTTGGATCAAAGAAAACCATTTTATTCATTACGTAGCATTTATATATTAAATCTTAAAGATATTTAAGTTATTGTTTTCCACTACAGTAATCAATTAGGCTCCTACTATTCATTTAGAAAGAAACGGTTTAATTATTAGTAGGCCTATACATAACGAATATTCAACAAAAATTCAGGTTTCTTCAAAAGGGAAGCTGATATTCCATTTTTTCAAATTTCTAGAATCTTGGTTCCATAAAGCCATGGATCTTAACCATTTTTGTTAAGATTAAGGTTTCTATGATCATATTTACTAATAATTTTTAGAAATTAGTCTTATTAACAGGTAATTTTCAACGTTTTATTTGTTACAGGTAAAGTGATTCAAAGATTTTCTATATTGGTTCCCTCTAAAGCACCAATGGACATGACATCGTTAGAGGTGGGCTGAATAAATCCAACACTTCTGTGAATATTAGGTCATTATGTTTTCCTTTATAAAAAGTTTTTTGGCCAGACACAAAAAGAAGTTATTTGTTCTTGGTATGTTCGCTGGAGGTGCTGTTTTGGGTACAAGATATGCTCAGCGAAGATTTATCGAGTGGCAAGAGAAAGAGACTAAAGAATTCTTGGAACGTACAAGAAAACAGCATTATTTTGAGAGTTCAGAGAAAACCTGTAATCAAACGATAATTTTCTTGTCTTCTACTTTGAGAGAAAATATCGTAAACCATGTAAACTGTGAAGCAGTTATACAACAACTGCGAGAAGGACCATCGAATAAGTTAGATTTGTGGCAAGAACTGAAAATACTTGTGTTCACCAAAGTGTGTCTACTTGTTTACTCTGGTACTCTGTTGGTGATCGCTCTTCGTATCCAGCTGAATGTTATCGGTGGATTCATCTACTCCAAGTCAACAGCGCCTGGGAGTGATCCTAAATTTACAAGTGATCTGCAAGAAAAATATCTGTCGCAGTGTCACTACTTTCTGGAGGAAGGTATGAAGGAACTGTGTCCGTTGGTGAAAGAGAAAGTGAATTGTGTGCTTCAAGATATAACTCTGAAGCAGAATATGACGCTACAACACATTGAAAACATGTTTTGGGCAATTCAATCTGCTGTCAATGATGACCCCCGAGGACCATTGAATCGCATGCCGGAGTTACTGTACGGGAGTGGATTCGAGCAAGGCGATACGTTCATCAAAGGCATGATGCTTGATACAATCGAGTTGCTTAACAGACCTGAAGTAAAAGAACTTGCATCTTCTTGCATCAGTAGAGGGTTTTCCCATTTAGTTGATAGAGTATCTGAATTTTTCTTGCCAGATGATAAGAATCCCCTTTCTCAAGTTCCTAGCACAACCAATACAACAAATGGCCTGGTTAAATTTGCTCACCCTAACAATTTTTCTAGGCCTTTTGCAAAAATCATTCCCATTATTAATGGTTACGGTAATAGTAATAGAACTGATGGTTCAGAATCGTGGGTATCACCTTTCCTTTACATGGAAGGTGTTAAAACATTTGGGGCGAATATATTTGAATCGTACAGTTACTCCTCTCAATAGTTCCCTTCAAACAGACGTTGAAATGTATCTTTAAAGTTGGAGGCTAAAATAAAATAGGCCTTAACACATTATAACATTTTCTGAACTCGTGTTGGCACTGTACAAGTGTGACTATATTTTTTGCATTTTATGTTTGTAAATATCACATGAATAATAAATTCCTTCAAAAGGAAGTAAATGAAATATTAAAAACCCAGAACTAATGCCAAATACTTATTATCAATCGGTGAAATTAGTTTAATACGACATGCAATATGAGTATTAAATGGAACCCGTATAATTATTTCTCTTATAACAGTATACTGAACATAATATGTTGGTAATTTTTAGATTTTACTTTAATTTGTGGTCTTGGGTCTATTTGTTGTATAGTATTTATCACTTATTATTTGGTTTTAAATGTAAAAAACCGTTATGTTAGTGGATAACACTGTTCACTAATACATTTCTATTAAAATTTACATGTATGATTGTCAGTATTAAGATCCTATACAAACAAAGGTTTTAAAGGTTTGAGGATCATTTTAGTATTAGCATTTTTACTATATAACTGGGATTTGTATATTTGTAAATCTGTTTTTACTGATTTTTAAAGGTGATGTTGTTTCAGTAAAATTGGTATAATTGCATTGTTTACTAGATATTTTATTACCACCTTCAAAACAAGATACAATAAAATATAAATATATTTTTTTATCATACCCCTTATTTCTTTGAACCCCTTGGGGTTACGAATGGATTCAATTAATAATACCCCCGCCGCAGCAAACCTGCAGACTAAGCAAATTTCCATTTGCCTGATTTGATTTTCAATAAATTCTATTCAAACAACATTAGGTTTAACGAGTACCTAGGTTTGCTGCCTACAGGGTAATAAAGTGTGTTTTATAGTAAAATATTAATAGCTTAGTATAAAATAAATAGATTGGCCAAGTTTGATCCAAATATATGCATAAACAAACTACAACAGTTTACTTATTCTCCATAAGAATAAAATGGGATTTACAAATGTCCGCTCAACATTACAATGTCTTTATTTATTGTTTACATATTGTTCTTTGTTTATTGCCTAAGATTGTCATGGTCGTATCTTCAAAGACGGGTGGCGGATATATCCGCTGCATTTCTACTCATCCGCAGATGGGTAGCAGATATATCCGCATAGTTAAAAACGAGTATAAAATTATTTTGACATCATGAAGTGTTCCATTGTGTTGATTTTATGTATACTTGTATAACAAAACACAAATAAGGAAAATTAATTTTTATTTTTCCTGTCCTATGCAAATATTACATTGATAATCCATAATATATTCTCAATTGTAAAAAGAATATCTATTATTCACCGTCATTATTACAAATTATGATGCATAATGGTTGTTCCATAATCCCATTTTATTTTTATTCACTTCACTAAGAAAAAAACGTTCTTTGATTTATATATTCCGAGCAAAATATGAATGCAGAAGTAAGTGTGGAATGGAGTCTATGATGTGTGTGTTTTTTACTGACTGGGATCAGTCATTGTTTAGCCAGGGTAATTAATTATTGAGAATCAAAGATATCTGGGTCTAGTTTTTAAGTATCAAAACCTCAATGATTTCCCCAAAATCAACTCGGCTGTTGCTACTTGCCTAAATCAGGTTTTCAGACGGTTAGGCAAGTCCTATAACAACTCAGCTTTCTTCAATTAAACATTCTACAAATCATGGTCAAGATAAGGTTCTTAAATTGAGGTTTGAGAGTACAATGAGTCTAGTGTTATGTTTGCTAGTGATATGGCAAATTTGTTAACTACTGATGTCCTATTGCAGTTCAGCCAAAGAATATGAAACACAAATTGTAAAATTTACCCTAAAAAAGAGCAAAAGACTCAGAAGTTAAATACTTTAGATTTTACCGTAGATTGACAAGTGTATCAAGTCACCATTGTTTGTCCATACTTAATTTAGCGGATCAACTTGGAATTCATCGTAAAATTGCTTGGTCTAAAGTCTAAAGCCTTGTAATGAAGGAATAGCTTTCTCACACAGTAAAGTCTTGTAGTTAAGAAATAGCTTTTTCACACAAGTATTGAGAAACTACCAACACTTTTAAGGAACTCCGGTTCCTTCAAATTTTTATTAATATACTAGGTATTGCGCCCACACTTTCTCGATGTTAACCATTTTAGGCTTGGCAGGACTCATTTTATTCTATTTAATTTTTAGCCACCTCTCTTAAATATACAATCTGTCTCATAAAACAGTTTTTTAATAAATTGACGATATTTTGGAAATCAATAAAACACCTGTTTGAGAATACGTTTTAGACACTGATATTTTAATATCTCTTGTTATGATAAGGGAAATATCAAATAGTATCAATGTAAATTAATAATTCACTGAAAATCACAATATTATCTTTGTGCTTTACGAACTATTTAAACAATAAAAAAGTGTATAAAACAGAAGAAGTATGAATACTGTACATTTTACATTCATTCAAATTATAGATTGTACAAGAAATCAAATAAAATGTAAAGTAAAAATAAATTAGTTTTCCGTTTTAAATTAAGTTATGATTTAACAAAGTACAAATTTATTAGTTGCCAGAGATTGAATCTCCTTTCTTTGATTTGATTGGAACTATTTGTAACTGGTAGACTGGCGGTCCATTGAAGATTTAGGCCTTGACGTTCGGTAATCACGGGTTTCGTTCCTGAAGTGACCGTCCAACTGATCTCAGCTCCGATGTTTTTCGTTGTTTTTTGTAGATTTCAGCCATTCTACAAACTCATCCAGCATTACAGGCCCTGAAACCAAAAATATTTAACTCTGTAACCATAAGGCGCAGAATAACAATTTAGCTCTTTTTTAGTCATCGAAAATTGCCAGTGAAATTGATGTGTTCAGGTTCTGGAACTTATTGATGTTTTTGTTAAATGTTAAATTTTTTCAAAACTGTTACCTATTTGATTAATCTGTTATGTTGGCTTATTGTATTATCAAAGACAATTAATAGACTAATGATGTTTGCTATACAATTTAACAATTGTCAAAACAAAGAATACTATTATTAAAAAATTATATCGTCAAAGCTACTCCCTATAGGACATTTCACTAATAATTAAGAACAACGATACTCACATGCCCCATCCACGTCGTAATTGGACAGGTCGTTGGAAATGGTGCGGGAAAACTCTAGGATGTTGCACCACTGGTCTTTGTTGATCACTTTGTACTTCGAATGTTCTAAAAACTTGCTAAATTGATAAAAAAGACTCCACTGTTTGCCTAGAAGAAGTTGAAGCATTGCTTTGGCCGTCTCCATGTCCATACTTCGCTGATCCTTATCCTGTGAAACACATTCGTTATTATATTCAGTAGGTCAAATTTTAAGGGAAAGCCAAGTGACTGGTTAAAGAGTTTTTAAAGGAAAGTTAATTTAGCGAACATGAAAAAGTCCTACATTTACTTAGGAAAAATTTCAATGATATTATGTTGTTTTATTGTATATGTTCACTCCCTGGACACTTAATTTTCTCAATTAAGCTAAGCTAACTGAGGTTTGTCTAAAAAACATTTCTATTGAGTAAGTGGATTTTAAGGATTGAATGCAAGGTATTGCTGTATTGTATTGCAAACAAATTTTGGTGAACAAAATGTTAAGGACTTTTTGTCACCCTAATTTAAGGACTTTCCAAGCATGAATTTAGTCAGGGCATGAATTTAGTTTGGAAATTAGCTGTTTGTCGCCTGCTTAATCAAATGAGGTTTCATTATGTACTACTGTGCAGTAATTAATTTTTACCAGTAACCAACTGATATTTGGCAATGGTTGGTTATAAACCATCAAAACCTCTCTTGGAGGTTGTGAGTACCAGTGATTGGTAGGTGCATTAGTCGGTGGGAATGTATAACAAATTTGTCATGGTTAGGTTAAATTAGAGTAGTATGGCAAAAAATATTGTATGTGTTTACCGTACTCGTATGGTAAACAGTAGTGTAAACAGATAGTGATAAATTTTTCATTACTGGATGGCTACCAATTGAAGATACTTTTGACACCAACTTGAAATTTGATCATGCATCACTTTTTTATCACTTCATTTTTATTTATTAAACAACGTAAAATTTAGTTTTTCAAAGATATATTGTCACTTTCTATGTGTACAAGTAAAAAATATTGCATTGACATTAATAAAAATAGTAGGGATGGTCAAGTCTCGAAAATTTCGGGAAATTTTCAGGAAATTTTAAATCTCGTTACACGAGACGAGATTTCTTTTTGGCCGGGATTTTTATCGAGACGAGAATAAAAAAAAAAATTAAAAACGCCTGCAGAAAGTCAATGCAATACCCGCAATACAGGAGCGTGTTGTATTTGCGTTTCCTTTGCGAAGGCGTTCTTATTTAATTAATTCTTTAAATTTAAATATTAATTATTTTAATAATATTACTTTAATAACATTTGAGAAGTTTTGTTAAGTGTAAGCAGTGTGAGGAATGTTTTATTACTATAAAAAGTCAAAACAAGTAACTATTTTATAAAAATTAATATTGCTTTTATTTTATGATTTATTTTATTTTAGGATAAGTTGAACTCTATCCTAACTGATATCACTATGTTTCCTAATTGTAGACATTTTTAATAAGTTAGCCGGATTAATAAAAAATGTTATGCTGATGTTTTTTAATAAAAGATTGTAAATATTCTTGCCTATTATCATTATTTTTGTATTTAAACAGTCATCTAACAATGTTACAAAATCAGGTAAAAATTTTGAACGTGCATTTCCCGTTGTGTATGAGAAGAGAAATCCCGTCTCGATCTCGTCTCGAAGTTTTATGAGAAATAAAAAATCTCGTCTCGTCTCGTCTCGAACTAAAAATCCAATCTCGTCCATCCCTAAAAAATAGATATAAAAACTTGTTATACTTACACGTGCGAAATCATAAGCGTATCTATAAATACTTTTAAATGTTGTTTGATCATTTAAAAGAGATCTAAGATAATCTATCCTATTCTTGATTTTTTGAATAGAATCACATCTGAAACAAGAAAAGTAGTTTCATTACAAATGCATGGACAAGAACAAATAACTGTGCATAATAAATTGTGAGAAAACTTAAATATGTGTCAAAAGTTAAATATCTGACAATTATCCAGTTTAATCTTCAATCATAATCATATTCCTATTATTCGTATTTTTTTTTAATTAACAGTTTGAAAAGTGGTTGACAAAAACAGAAGAGAATGTTAGGAATCAAATGGTATTCAAAGTTCAAAGGTATAAATAAAATTATCCTTCTGTCTTTACATTGCTTGACATGTTAACAATGATGGTCTTTTGTTAAAATGTTTTTACCTCATGGAGGCCAAACCTAGCATCTCATCAATATTTTGCATTTCTCTAATATTAAAAGGACAGTGCACTGTTCCTAATTCATGTTTCAATAGCTACGCTCTCAATGTTGATGTTGTGCAGATAAAAGATTCCAATTGTACTAAAATGTGTTAACTCTGGATTGAGCCCAGGTATTTGGACTGATAACAACCACAAAGAAGTAAGGTACAAAGGAAATTTGCTTGTGGGACGACCGTGCTCTAGTACCGTATGTTGTGCGTATACGCTAGGGCAATATGCTTGCGAAGAGCGAGGAAGAGCACAAGCGGCGAGCACTGTGCGCAAGTTCCTATCTTACAGGGCACAGGGTCTTCTTCTGGTACATTGGGGGTTCTGAGCATTGTAGTACATGATGGGGAGGGGGGTTAAGAGAAGCAATTGTGTTGGAATTTACCCTATACACAAGCGACTAAGCACTACTTAAGTGTGCCATTCAATGTTTCCTCTGTACCTTACTTCTTGGTGGAAACCCCAAATCAGACTAATGAAATGTGCTAATGTACCGGTAACCAAAACTATCCTAAACCTATATCATCCTTTTTGAACTGAGTTAAGTAAGAAGAATGATTTAAGGAAGAACTAAGATGTTTCATGCAGTTAACAATACTTACTGCATTTCTGATAGTCCTTTGAGCCATTCTGATAGAGTGAAAAATCCCATTTGTCGGGCATTCATTTTCCAAGCTAGAACTAACATCACAACATTCTCAGGTTCCACACCAATGTCCTCACAAAACTTCTCCATTCCCTCTGGTCCTGAAACAGAATAGCAATAGTGATTCAACAGTATATTGCTTGACAGCTTCATTGCTTCAACAGTAAAGCATAGACAACTCAACAAATAATCAATCAACGTATTGAATTAAATAATTGTGGGCCTGACCCAATGTGGGTGTTTATTGTTTAATGAAATAAAAGCTAGGCCTCTTACATGCAGTAAAACCTCACTAACTTGACAATTTGAATTTGTGCACTCAGAAGTTGTCGATTTTGGGGGTTCAAGTTAAAGTTTCACCTTTTCAAGTAAAAGTAATAAAGTAAAGTTATTCAGAATATTAAATTTGCTTGGGTTTTAATAAATGAATACTAACAGACTTTCAATAGGCTAATTGAAACTAAACGTTCTGAAAATGTACTCTTAAGTCTTATGGACTAGACATGTGCCCTGTCGGCTGTTGAGTGTCGAGTTAGTGGCGTTTAACTTTATAGTAGGCTACATATTGAAAAACCGTAGATTCATAAATCTAAGAAAAACCCCTTAACTTAAGCTTACAATAAACAAAAAATAAAATCTAGATTACAAAGTAAATAATTCTTGAAAACATGAGACGGTTATTTAAAAAAAGTCAACTTAAAAATCAGACAAAATCTTAGGCCAATAAGTTTGCTAAGGATGTTTTTATGAATTGATGTTACATTAGGCCTACTTGTCTAGGATAGATATGAAAAATCTACAAAAATTGAAATTAGCTCTAAAAAAATAATTGAATGATGGGTTTGCATGACTTATTGTTTGCAAATAATAGGCTAAAATGTGATTGGTTAAAAACAAATTAGAAAAACAAGGCCTATTGGCTAAAATGAAATGAAACCATGCACAATTCTCAAGCATATTAGAAATCAACAAAACACAATAAAACATTAAGGATTGAAATCTAAACAATTGGAAATAAAAATTTGACCAAGGTCAGTCTATTTTTACAAGAACGTTGATATTCATTCGATCTTACCCAATACTTCAGGTTCATTCGGTGATGTATACTCATTGAACCAAGTGATACATCTCTTTTGACTGAACGAGGAAGCATCGTCTGATTTTGAAAATCTTCGAGTACTGGAACACAATTGATTTCAATCATTATTCATCATATTATTTTTGGAAACAGTAAATTGGAAACAATAAAGGATAAATAAACACAGTGAAATGTGTTGTTTATTGGTGTAGGCCTAGTTAGATCTTGAAATTAAATAGGCTACTTAAACCATATATAACATTGCTGCAACAGCAAAAAGAAAAAAAAAACAAAATACAAATTCATTAGCTCCTTACAAAACCATGAGTTGTACAAAGGAGAAGTAACAAATTTATTACAGAGTTGATTTGACAACATTCACAGATTCAAAATTATTCTAATTCCAATATATTTTGTGTGTACTCTAAAGGCAAAATATGTTAAATATTTTTTTATATTTTCTTTTAAAAGGCATTTAAACTTAGCGAGGTTAACAATGACTTGTTAGCGAATTTCCCCTATAGGGAATAAGCTATTTTTAAATTGACTGAGTGTTAAGAAAAACATTTTGCCTTTAAAAAGCATAGGCCCTATACAATTTGTAAAAGCCCAGTACAATGTATTAGCTTAAAATTTCTTCAAATTGAATGTTCAATACATTAAAACAACATCTTGATCCTACTTTACAACAGTTCAATGAAAAAACTAGAAGAATACATAAAAAAAATTAAATCCCAACCATCTGTTTACTTTATGCCAATCACTTAACAACCTTTTCATTCCACAATGACTTTAATCACCGCTTTATTTTACCTGAAGTCACACACGTAAAAATCATTGATCATTGAAATCACTGATTAACCAATTATGAAGAATTTACTAAGCTTACCTCAAATCCTCCATACAATGACACAGAGAATTGGTAAACAATGTTAATGGGTGAGAACAGTGAGACTAAACCTCTGCCCACAGGTTCAATTCTATTTTGGTCCGTATAACTTGTGTGTGCCAGCCCCCTCCCCCTTAAACTATCTCTGTCTCATTTCCTCACTATTTCACACCTTAATCACGAGTGAGTTTAAAATTAAATTGATCATTAGTGACATCAATCATGGTGACAGAGAAAAATATGTTTGGTCTGTGTAAAGTTAACTGAAATGCAAATTTATTTCATACTGTAACCTACTTACATATGTTTTTTGTGGAAAAAAGTTTAATTGGAAATATTTAGGGATAGATTTAATAACAACATTTAATGCTAAAATGTGTTTTGGATTTTTTAGGGTGTGTTAATTACCAAACATAATGATTGTTTAGTTGGAAAATAGGATACAAGAGATTCATTTTTTAATTAATTCTTTCAACTCATGTAATAATTATTTATGTTTTAACAGTAAAAACTAAAATTGAAAAAAACCTGGCAAAACAGCTTACTACAGTTTTTAGTTAGCTAATCTATCTGAATAGATTCTTTTATAAAAAATTTGTTTTTGCTCTTAAATAGTCAAAAATGATAATAATTTTACGTTAAAATATGAACCGGTACCAAAATTGATAGCAAAACATACCAATACATACATACAATACATAATACATAATACTAATACATAAGGTACTATTTGTTAAATACTTTGTATTTTGTCTGGATTAGAAATAGGCTATTAAATATGAATCAACAATAAATTGTTTAGCTAAATATTATTTTCAACTTTTTAATTTTTCAAGAGTTTTACCTTGAGGCTTGAACAGCTTTACCTTAAAGAACTTGTTGATTGAGGGTAAAAATGTATAGTCCCACTTAAAGGTAATCGCTAAAACTTAACCAAACTGTTCTGATAAAAGTAAACAAGGAACATTAAAATAGTCGGCATTTGTTTAATTTGACAAACGGTGGTGAGAATTGCCATAATACGAAGTTGTAAGACTCAATTCAATTAGCCTGCAGTACAGATATATGGAGATAGGCAATGTCACCTATTTTATAGCATTGCTATTATATTATGTAAACATTAGGCCTATGTGACAATAAAGATTTTTTATTTACAGAACAGTTTAATATTTAGCCTACACAACAATGGCAATGAAGTAAATGGTTGGAAAGATTGATGCAAAAAGTTACCTTTTAATGACTGAGAAACACTTTTCATAATGTGATCAAGCATCGGACAAAATAAAAACAGCTCAAGAAGTAAAAAAAGCAACACTTGGGATGAAATGAGGAAGAGAAGTAAAGTTAGAGAAAAGAAAGTCCATTTATTCAATTATAACTTATTAAAATATTAACCCATTGGAGACTTGGTATCGAGTTCAATAGCATAGCCTTTTGAATCTAATAAAAAATTGCCAATTTGCATTGTTTCAGTAAAAAAACATAAAAATTTGGCTTTTTAACTATATTTGTTATTAAATGATATTTTTTCATAAATAGGTAATTTGTCAGTGTTGTAAAAAACCATGGGTGGGGACATTCCATAATGGTTCAATTTCGGGTGATTTGCAGATTTTTTCTCTTCAACGTAAAAAATTTAACAAAGAGTACCATCAAAAGATTTTATTTATTTATTTTATTTATTTATTATCAACGGTTCCACCATTTTTACAATGTTAGTTAATAATAAATAGCCTAAATAAATAATAATAATAAATAAATAAATTAAAGATCTGACTCAGAAGTCGATCAGTCCCTCCCTGTTATATATTGAACAATCACAGTGGTACTTTAATATAGTCCACTGGCAAACTAGTCCCTGTTGCAACAACATACAACCAGCCGGCTGTAATAAGTGTACTTGGGGAGTCTGGTGGTCTCAATAATCATTAGGTAGGCCGATCTGTTCTTTATTTTTCCGGGACATGCTTTTTTAAAGGGTTTGGCAAGATAGAAAAAAAAGGATTCACAATCATATCCTCTACTTGGAAAATATAGTAGGTAGCCTATAACTTTCGAAACATCACATATATTCTTCAAATAAATCACCACCACCTGTCAGGGTTGCCACCTTAGGTTAGGGAAAAATCGGGACATGACCCCCTCCCCCAGATTAACATAGGCTTAAATGCGGGCATAAGGAACAGAAATCGGGACTGTCCCGGCAGAATCGGGACGGGTGGCAACCCTGCCGCCTGTATATAATTGTAAAAGAATTTAAATTGAACAATATATATTTTGTTTCAAATACCATCTTTGATTCTCTAGCAGTTTCATCCTAGTTTATTATTTATTCAAAAAATGGCACACATTTAACAGTAGGCCTAACAGCTTAACCGATCATATTGCATTTTTAATTTAATTCCTCTTTGCATTTTTATCGATTTAGACATCAACAAAGGTTATCCAAATATCTCACTAAAATCTGTCAATTTTCAAGAATCATTATCATTCCAGCATTCAGCAAACTGTTTTTCCCCTAAATTTAGAGTGTCATATCATTGGTAAACTTAATGACAATTAACTGAGCATATAAGATATCTAATCTTCCACTGCACAGGCTCTGTGTGATGGAAGTCCTCACAGGTTCTAAATAAATTGAGTCCCCAAAACATAAACATTCATTTACACCCCACCAGGGGGCAACTTTTGTGGTACTGTAACACACTTTTATAGGACATTAAATTGTATAGGTACCATAAAGGGGTGTGAATTTGAGAAGTGAATTGAGAGTAGGTCAAATAAAGTGGTTAATAAGTTAATTACTAGTAGGCTAAGTTACTTCAAAGCAGCTTATTTTATTTTTTTTTCTTTACACCTTGGAATTAAATCATCAACCATCAGCTTGAAGGCGAATACTTTTACCCAGACTTTTGTACAATAGGACAATTAGGTAAAAAAAACTAAAGGTTAGTTTAGGCCTACCTTATTAAGTTAAATTTTAAAAATAGGCCCAAAAAAACTCAAATCATAAACTAAAAAAAGGATATGCCTAAAACACTTAATACTTGAAGCCAAGCTAGAATAAGGTTAAAAGCGTTCACAAAGAACTTAAGTTATTTACCTATAGAAACTAGGCTATTTAGATTAAACTAAGTTGAAAGTATTATAACACCCTATTTGGGTTCAACCAAATGGAAACAAAGTTTTGATGCTTAAGTTAACACAGGAAGAGTATCAGGGTTGGGTTATTTCTGGAGTTTTGAAATGTAGGCTAGGCCTTACCTGGAGGAAGTGTTGCGCTGCCGCTTGCTGCAGTGATGGTCTTCCTCATCTGGCCCCATGTCAGCTGTTGAACGACGTTTACCACGAGGCATCACAAACTAACCCGCTGATTACCCTATTAACACATCACTTATGTTTAACACTTATAAAAATTTAAAACTGCAAGGCAAACTAACTTATAATGAAATCAATTCCCTAGTTAAAGGGCACAGGTAAATTATTGCATACGTAGACAAGGCTGAGTTCTTGTAAAAATTAAGTTAAGACCTGTAAGTTAGGGTCCACTAAGGCCTGAGCAACACTAGGCTAAGTTAGCATGAGGACAAATGTTAATGCACCATAACAATTTAGTGCAACTGTAACTTAGGTTTTTAATAGTAGTCCTAGCCTAGAGTGGCATATACCTTATTATTAGTGAATTCAACAATTTGATCTGTAGCCTATAGGCTAACAAAAACACCCACACATTACAGTCTTTACAAATCCTCTTGTTGAAATATCGTAATGCAGCTAGCCTAACGTTTTGTGGTATAGGCCCTACCTACTATTTAAGTATTAAAGGACTAATTTGTGACAGAAAAAATAGCGTGGTCAGAAAACCACTCAATCTTGTCCTGGCCAAATAACAATAACTTAGGCTACTAGGTCTAACTTAAGTTATGCCTGGGATCTGAACCAAGCCCATTTTCCTAAAACTTGAGGGATAGGCCTAGGACTGGATATTAATCGTAAAAAACTCACGAACTTATGAATTGTAATAAATAATGAAAGTGGTCAAACGTTGCTGTCCACTTCATTATTAATGTTAAAAATTATTTATTCAAAAACCTAGTCTGAAAATACGACGAAGAAGGGGATTGCTTCTAGTTTTAAGAGGCTTAAAAAGTAAGTATTTACCTGATAAGTTAAAGCACAGAGATATTTATTTCCGAATTAATTAAATTAGATCACAGAAATCCATCTAAAATGTCCCGGCAGTCACAAGTAATAATTTACAAATCTTAAAACTAGTTAAATAGACATTTCAGAAGGTCCTAATTTAAGCATAAGCAATGGGATGCGAAATGAACTGTTTTTTGTTTGGTTATTTTTTTGTCTTTGGATTTGTACATGGAGATTGACTTTACGGTCAACGCCTTCTAAGTACAAATATGAGATGCATTAATATACAACCTATGTAATATGGTAATATGTAATACTAAAATGCCATTGACTTGGGAACATGTTTAGTTTATGGTTGAGCCGTTATAGTGGTCACCTAATAATAAAAAGGTTGCCAGAACGATCGTAAGAAAAGTGAGTGAGATGGTTTGTTTGTAACTAAACCCAGCGGTTCATGATCATTGCGGGCTTTTACAAAATTATCCTCAGTTAAAAAAGCTACACAGATCCACTCACTCCATTCTATTCTACACTCATCCATCGTCGCCCCATATATGGGTTGAAATACGCACCTAGGTGGCCTCCCCATCTCAATGATTGATAACAATAGAAATAGACCATCTACATGTCAACCAATCTGACTTTTTGTTGCAGTCAATATTCTGTTATATAATGAGTCCCTCTTTGTTTCTACTACTAAAAGTAGTGTATTTGATATCTAGGCGAAATCTTACAACAATTAAACAGGAGAAAACTCATTTTCCAATAATAGACTCACCTTCACCCCATCAATTTTAATCTGGCCTTTTTTGACCAATTTTTGAAAATGTAACCTTCTCAAAAAATAGTCACAACATTTTAAAATTCATTAATCACCACGTCACGACTTCAATCTTAAGAGGAAATTTGACACTAAATCCTGCAGCGCAGCACTTTCCATGAAAATCTGCCACTGTCCATGAGCACCTTATTTCTTTTAAAAGTTAATTAAATGGTTAATCAGTTTCGTTTCAAGAACTATTTTAATTGAGTTATCTTTATTTTATTTTATTATTGCATTTAAAATCAATTAAACATTATATTTTTGCAAAACACGTTGATGTTTTTAATACACAAATTCCTCTTTGTGTATCAAAAAAAAATTAAAAGGTAAAATTTATCTTGCCTGACTACAGAAAGTTTAATCATAGACTAACCAACACAAGAGAGTGTGTTTTATTAATAAAACTCCTGTCTTAATGTATTTTTCTAGTATTCATGATGTCTACTCAAAAATCAAAATCAAAACCATAACTGCTGATCAGCTTCAGACAACTCCCTTAAAACAACAATCTAGGACAGTAGAGTCATAGATAAACTTCCTAGTCTAGAGAAGAATTTAGTGAAACAGAAACAGCAGACCAATAATTAGTACAAATAAATATATATTTACTTACTGATAGCACAGGCAGAGGGGAATGGTTATATTCATTGACTCATTTTACCCTCAAGCCAAAATGTTCTTCATCTCTCTTAGGCTCTGACCAGCAGTTATATATTTTTGAAATCTTACTTTTACACTGAATATATTATTAAAAAAAAAAAAACATTAAAGCATTCCATTCACGTGTTTATTTACCCTAGTAGCACAAATATGTATTTTATAAATATTTTATATATTTAAAGTTGTATTTGATAGAACCTCGAATAAAATATATATATAATATATCTTTAATAATAGTTTGATATATTCAAATATATATTTAAAATATTACCAAAAAGCAATGCAAAATATAAATTAATATAAGTTTTGAATATATAAAATAGATTCATAATATATATTGATAAAACAAGTATAGAATCTATAATATACATATTTTGTATGTATATTTTTCCTATTAAATATTTAAAAAAAAATTATGTGTTGAGAATATTTTAAATATATATATAAAATATTTTTGAAACTATATTATATATTTAAATTATTTATAAATATATTTTGAAATAAGTCAGATATTTTTATTAATAAAATAATATTATATTTGTAGAATATATAGCCTATAATCTTTTTTAATTAGCAAATAAATAATTTGCATCTTTTTGTTTTTTATAGTGTCTATCAATTTATACATGCATTTTTTGTATGATAATTGCTATTGTGAAAGCGTTAAAATTAAGTTAATAATAATACGTACTCTGAATGGTGTCACTCTATCATACACGTAAAGAAAAAAATAGCATATAGTTAAGAGGCAGTATACATGTTCGACAGCTACATTTGGGTTAAACGAAAAAAAGTGTTGATGGGTTTTATTTTTTTAAATTGCAATATGTGACAATGAATGTGATCATAGAAATCTCGAATGATTGGCTAGAAAAGGGTGCTAGTGACTGGCGACCTTTTAACAAACTAATTACGGTTGTATATGACGTTCTAAAAATAATTATTTGATTTACATATGCCATAAATTACATAATATTTGTCATAGTATTTAAATTAATTTTTGTAGTTTACTGTATTTGTATTCGTGGAGAATACTCTCTATTCACTACAGCACTATTCAACTCAACTACTTGATGCCAAAACAGATTAACAGAATCATTATACTGTAGTATCAAAAATATTTCAAGTATTGCAACCATTGCAACTGAGGGCCACTCTTTCACCATTTGAAAACTAATGCTAACAACAGTCACAAGTAGCTCAGAGGTAAGGTAGGAGGCTCATAAGTCGAAGGACCCAGGTTCGAGACCCACCTGTGCTGAAAAAATTTTATCCAGTAATTTTTTCAAAATTTGTTTTTATGAACTATTTAATCAATTTACTCAACTGATAATTGTGTTTTTCATACTAAATCTTTATTATTTTGTGTTTTTATGTTTAGGCCCCATGGGATGTTTGGAAGAGATAGGCTATTAAATACATTTTTTATTTAAATATTATTCACTAAAATATATTATTGGAACATATTTTTTTAATATTTAATAGATTCAAAAACATATTTTTTATATATTTAATATATTTTAAATATTATATAAAATTGACATTAATACACACTTGAGATATATAAAATAGATTTTAAATATATTTATTCATATGTATTTAATATATATTTGTGCTACTAGGGTATCAGCAAGAAATATAGCAGCAATGTTAAATTAACGGAACTTTAAATAAATCTATTATATTATTAAAGTGATACAATCAAATTTTATGTAAATGGTTAAGGCCATTTAGCAAATAAAAATATAGGCATATGGCACATAAAAAATGAAGCTTAGAGTGTGTAGATTTGCCAAAAAATGATTGGTATGAACAAATTTCTTATGCGTTCAGCCAACGCAGCCCCACAGGCCGATTTCCAAAGGGCTACCTGACATGCTTCCAAATGTTTAGATGATTTAATTTAATAAAACAGCTGGTCAATGCAATGAACTGGTGTTTATTTATTTTCTAAAAAAAAACATTTAAACATGCTTAATGTAGATTGAGGAAATAATGTGCATTATTTAGTAAAGGGTTGTGTTTGGTTTTAAAGAAAGGTTGTATAAGTTTTGTAGAGTATTGCTCAAAGTTTAATTTGTATTTAATATTCTACAGTACATATAAGGCTTGACTAAAATCGAAGAATTATGGTAAAATATCTCATTTATGAAACATCAATATGAAGCAATATTGGTGCTATTGCTACACTAAGGTATGTTTTGTCCTATTCTTTTAGATCTATTAACATAAAAAGTAGGGATTTGAATTTGATTTACATTTACACTTTAAATCATTTATCTTTTCAAATTAAATCATAGACTTGCTGCATTTTTAAATCACACATTAGCACCACATAGGCTACACTTTATGGTTGTCTAGGGTCTTAATGAATTAGGTATATAAACTAACATCTGTTAATTGAATCAAACAGCTGTTTATAATTTAATTAATTAAATAAATGATAAATGATGCTTTGAAAGCATAATATGCTTAATTAATTACGTTATATAACATACTAGCAGTTACCCGACGTGCGTTGCTGCGCTTAACAACTATTATTGTAAATGGTAATTTGTTCTTTACGATGAATAATAAAATAAGAGTGTGTACCAAAAATAAAAATATAATATTTTACCTAATTACCAGTGAATAAACAATGTTTTTTGTTTTTTCTATAAGTTTTTAGGCGTACCTACCACCACGTGAGCACGCAATATACAGCTGTCCATGTGAAAAGCATGTTTTTCCTACATTTAAACCGACGAAAGTCAGGGATTGTCCTAGTGCCTTATAATGGTGATTGCGAAAGCAAGACAAAAAAAGGAAATTGTAGTTGCTTAAATTCAGAGGGTAATTCAGATGAAGTCATCAGTATTCTTGGGATTAAGACTATTTCTCCTTTAAACTTACCACTGATAATTTTTGCTTCAATCAATTTTGGTGACATTTTTTTAATCGTCAGTCTGGTAACAATGCACAGCTTCGGTGGATTTAAGTTTCGCATTAGTATTATTGGAGTTCCTTCTTTTAATGCCAGTAATGTGGTGGGTAAATGACAAATTGAGAGGCATTTGAATACCTGAGATAGCATGCACGATTATTATTCACTTAATAATTTATGTTAGATTGTGTGGGTATAGAACAAAAGATCAAAAATATTAAGGCATTGCCATCCCTTTTATTGTTTATAATACTTTGATCAAGGTTTTTATGTTTACATATTTAACATTGGAGAATTTAAACATTGTTGAGTGCACAGGTGTGCTGCGATTGGGGTTTAATATATTTGGAATTATTCAAAAGTAAAATAGTTTTCTGTGCTGCACTCTGTAGAAATATCGTGGCACTATTTCAAATCATGATTAATACAGCATGTTGTGGTTATTCAAACCAACAAAACAGTTGGTGAAAGTAAACATCTGCTTTTAAATTATATTTATTTGTAAACATTGTAGTTCAAAAAGTCTGACATTGTCCCACTTAAAACCCTCTGGGGCGGAACCCTTTTGACGGATCTGCACCAAACTTCACACAAACCATCCTTGAAAGATGCTTAATAATTCCTAAAAGTTTCATTACAATCTGTCGAGCAGTTTCAGAGTCCATAACGTTCAAACATATATATATATATATATATATATATATATATATATATACATACAAACTTCCTCTTTTATAAATGAATCGCTTATTTGAGAAACAACACATATCCACAAAATAAAACTTTCGGAAAACAAAAAAAAACATATTTGCAACTAAATTGCTTAAATAATTTAGTTATATTATATTTGTATACATAACTAACGTCATTCTAATATGTTTTATCAACTTATTTCTTTAATAATTTATTTTAATATTTTTTTATAAAATAAAAAAAAATGGAGATGTGTGGTTTCTCAAATAAATTGAGAAAAGGATATAATATAAATAGATTGTTAGTTGTTTAAAATTACACAATTTATTAAACATGTCATGAATATGTTTTCTGAGTTGGTTAAAGCCTACATAGAGTCAAATCTGTCCATTTTTCATACCTTCAATCATCCAGTTCTTCGTTTTGGAGTGTTTCATTTTCTTCGTTGCCTTGGTGTGTTGGCCACTCATAAATTTCTTTCCAAAACTCTTGAATATCTTCATCCTGAGGTAAACAATTAGCTATCTTCTTAAGATCCAACATTTTTTTAACATTAATAGGGACTTTTCCACTAGGGTAGGCCTTTTTGGGTGGTTCACTAGGCGATTCCAAGCGAGACGAAAGGCAAAACTTGTGTTGTACGATGCAGTCAATGAACTCTCTGGTATACACTGTTCCTTTTTCTTGAGAATTGTATGTCAAATGCCTAAAATTGCTTATGTTGAAATGCACCTTTTGATCCTTGGGCACATGACGTCCTCTTGACGATTCAGATATTGTATTTCTTTTATAGAATGGTTTCCACCATGATTTGAAATCAAAGATGTCTTCGGTCTGAGGAACTGTTACCATAAAATTCATCTTATCGCTTGAGGTAATGATTTGCTCAACATACTCACGTAAGGTGTAGGTTCTATCTACAGTCTTTAATTTCCTTTTGATGACACTAAAGTCCCGGTCACAAGGAAGATATGAATGGCCACGCACAGGAAAAAATTGGGTAATTTCACTAAACCTTTTCCGGTCCGTCAAAGAAAGTAGGTAGCGTACCACTGTATTATTTTTCACCTGTCCACCGCAACCATCAGAGAAAACATACAATTTTTGTATTTCTTTGGGTAGAGACTCCACATATTCATTTAAAAATGATACAACCTCATTAGGTCCCTTTTTGGCCATACCTTCATGATAAACATAGATGTTTGCTTTACCTGTTTTTAAATCATGTATGCTTAAAACATTGACAGTTAACTGTCGTAGGTAAAATACGTCTTGGATAGGAATATGTGGCAGCTCCAAGTTTTGCATGTAATCCAGGCAAACAGCGGCAGAATTGTTGCTATTTTTCACAGTTTTTTTCACTTCACCTAATTTTTTGAAAAACTTTTTAGCCCTTCTAATGTGTACTATTTTCTCTGCTGCTGCAGCTAGCTTTGCTCTGTCATTCAACCTCACGCTTTTAATTTTAACACCAAGTTCTTCGCAGGCTACGCATGTGTCTATTTGTGGCCTTCCGAATGGAAATCCATACTTTTCTTTGTATAGCTTGTAGTAAAAATTGTACTTCACATCTTTTACCATATCTGGATACTTGTCCAAAAACAACTTATACATAACCTTAACATTAAGCCTCTCGCTTAAATAGTTTAAAATTTTATTGCTGTAGTGGGATGATTTGAGTGGGAATGACTGTATATGATTACATACCGTCTGAATCACTTGGTCTGATTTTGCATTGCCTGGTCTCTGCTTTCCACGCATATCTATAGGTGATTTGCCCTGAGACAACAAAGTGTACAATCTTCGGATACGATTTTCTGAAATACCATGTATTGCTGCAAAAGCCTTTTTGCATACAGAATAAGCACCTGAACTACATGAAACTCGGTAAGTATAAGAATAAGACTTAGGCTTTGGATTTACTTCTTCCTTAGGCCTTCGTCGAGCAATTTCATGCAAAGTAATAAGGCTTTGCAAGTACGAGTCCTGTTCATTCTTAGTATTTAGGCTATAGAACCTATTATTTATTTCGTCCCTATCAGTAGAGTTCACTCTTTCAAAACACTTCATTGTACACAGACAGTCTACTCCTTTCTTGGTTAGAACAACATCTTTACCTTTCCAGTTTTTGTAGTTTATTCCTTTTACACGACACTCTTTTATTATTTCACACTTGTACTTAACACCTTTTACACCTTTCCTTCTCTTCTTAGGAATTTCCTCACTATCTGACATAATGAAAGTAAGTTAAAATGCAATAATAAAAAACGAAATAAGCTCTTTCACGAAATAAGTCATACATAACCTCAAAAGTGTAAGTAAACTGAAGACTGATTTCTGCACAGGCACAGCTGATTTCTGTTTGTTGGAGAAACCACACATGTCCAGGAGATGTGTGGTTTCTCAAATAAACGAAATATTAAGGACCATTTTAGTTTCCCTTAGCAACATAGGATTAGTGTTGTTTCTACACAAAACGATGTATTTACATTTAAAGAAGACATATTAGTTGAAAAGTGAAAATGTCAAAAAAATGGATATGTGTTGTTTCTCAAATAAGTGATTCAAATATAGATTACACCTTACATATTATGTAAGGTGGCAAGGAGGTGGACCCTCCTAAGACATCGGCCTGTGGGTAAGAACCCTATAGAGAATCTGTCACTAATAAATTTTCCACAAATCTACAACACAATAAGCTCAATTTTTTAAAATAGTTTTACGTTGTATTATTATTAGTACCGGTATTGTTAGTTAAAGTTAAATTAGTATTGTTTTGATTGGTAAATATATTTTATCACAATTTTTGAGAAAATGTTTTGCTTGTACCTAGTTATTTTTGTTTGTGTGTAAGACTGATTTTGTCCATCAAATCTTTACCACAATATTATTTTACTTTTTCTTAAGATTTTATCTATACTTAATGGCGCATGGATTTTAAAATGGAGTAGGTACTTAGGTATTTTAAGGATCGAGTACAGACAAAAATCGTATACTAGATCATAGCCAGCTGCACATGTTCAATATGGTTTGTCAATTCATGATCAAGCCGAACTGATGTGCGGATTTGTGTGAGCATACAAAAGTTTGCTCAAACGACATGATAGAGTTTAAGCCATAAATTTGATAGTTTTTGATGGAGCATTAATTAAAAATCAGTTCCTCAAATCAGCTCTTCTGACATCACTCTAACTTACAAGCCGAATCGGTGTACCAAGCTATCTTGTTCTATAGGATAAGGGATGTATTTAATTAAAGCAATATAGTATTACTTAAACATTTATTCTGTACAAACTAAATTAAAAGTAAAATTAAACATAAATATTAAAGCAAATCAAGAAACAATAAATACAACGATTAAACAAGTCATCTTAGACTGTTGTAGGCGAGGGACCCAACAGTCCAGGCGACGCGGAGGACGATGAAGCCGAACAAAGCCTTCAGTGTTTGGTGAGCCCAGTAGAATCTGCAACATGAATATTATGTATGAGAAATATGCACCTTGTATTGAACAAAAATTATCATTCATCCATTAGGCCCGTGCTCATTCGTTAATTTTGTGGAGTGGATATCCGGTCAAGATTTTGGTTTAACAGAATTTTCTAGGTGTGCCATCATGTTAACATACATCAATTCTGCTGTGATTGCAAATTATTTTTTCAAGCTTACGCCAATGCAATGTAATTAATATACATTTTGCTGTTGACACTTAATTTAAATCATGTGATTTACTAAGGTACCTGTCTGACCCTTATTTTGAAGGATCCATTGCTCTTGCTACCTATTATATTGATGTTACACAGAAGGCTTGATTCAATGCATAATGCCTGATATTTGTGTATTTCAGGATAATTAATGAGAAAACTGTAATTACAAAAATAATTGCAATAAAATATAACAATGTTTGGTTATGTCTTCTGGTCCTACTTTCCTAACTGATGAAGGCAGTCAATTATTGTTAACTTGATGTTGCTTTAGATTATAAAATCTGCAGGAATAAAATACCAAATGGTATCACCTTCAGGCTGTTCAAGGACTAGTGTCTGCATAGTCATCTTCTACACAAAACAACATAAAAAAAAAGAAATACAGAAGTACTTGCAAATGCACAAGCAACAAAAGTTTATCAGCAGAACTTGACAACGATACACATGTGTCCTCGTACAACCCGAAGATGGATTCAATTCGGCACCGAACTACAAGTTTGGCCAACTAAAATTAAAGGAATTTTAAGTCTGTAAACATTTTTCACAAATTGTAAAACCACACTATTTGTTAAGTATAAACACATACCTCCTCCACCTAACCATGGCTTGGGGCAGAGTGCTCATATCGTCTTTGAGCAGGTAAACTCTCAGGCCTCGGATGTAGTTGTAGAAGAACTTGTCCCAGTCCAGCTGTTTCATATCAAAGTTGAACGTTTTCTGATCGCTCGGGCTCAAGCTCTTCCACATGGCTTGCACATTGTTGTTGCTGAAGTCCCATGATCTATGTGCGAAGTATGCCAGAACCATGGTGAACTTGTCAATCTTCTTATACACTTTGTATAGGCTGCAACAATAACATCATAAGTTGGAGATAAAATAAAAGTTAATTAATTATCAATATCAATTATTTAAGATGGGGATGCCACTAGGTGCGTATTTTAACCCAAATATGAGTGAAGGGAGTGGCGCGATCTTGTAGTCTTGTTAGCGATGTTCCTTAGACAAGCTGTTAATTAATAACCAATACAGCCAATTAGTAACTGAGGAAGTATTTAGTGGAATCCGAACCACATTTTTCCTTGTTGGTATAATTATCAGGATAGTACTGCAGATAGTCGTAATACTCACTAGTGTGGACGTTAATCTACACCAGGGAGCATCGCATCCACAGTGCATGCCTAAAAATATATCCACAATTCACGACTAGAAGCTGGATTACAGGAGGACGCCAATAAGGGGTGTGGAAATGCTAAATGATTTCAATATGTTTAACTATCAAAAAGTTATTGGCTGACAGTTTCATAAAAATTTATCGAATGATGTTCTATTATCAGAATCGGTGTTTGTTTTAATAGAGCCAAGTTTTTGCTGTGGAAAACTATATTCAACAATCATGTTAATGATTTGTTTTGAGATTTGAGTCAATAAATCGCTAATTAATTCAAAGGAGAGCAAACAAAAAAACTAAATTTCTAGTTTTAAAATAATACTATTCTTGAACTCACTTGGGACTCTCTTTTCCAGTGATCTTGGCCAATCCGTCTATGATGAGAGCAGGCAGGTAGTGAAGGAAGTAGGTACAGATCATGTGCATGAGAAGGAAGCGGTGTGTCGTCATGAAGTAGTACCACATTGCTCTCATGGGAGGTACTTTTGTACCATGCAGCTCTATCAGGTACTTGAATTCACCCCACTTCAACGGCTTCTCCACTGACGACACATAGTTGTATATTTTCACGTCTTCGTTTGTCTTGTCATTTCTGGTTTCTGGTGTTTGGTTGTTTTGGCTGTAATACATATAGTGATTACACGACTATAAGTGTAGTGGGTAGATAATGGAGAGGTCCAAATGTATGTTTTCTACAATCTGGGCTTTTCTAATTGAAAACTGCATTGGTAAGCTAGGCATATCCAGAATAAGATTTTTTTTGTTCTGGTTCTCATATAAATCTCAGTAGGAAACACATATGAGGAACAAAGGAGAGGGGGTTGTCCAAAATACATTCAAGGCTTTATAAAGACTATAAAGTTATCACAGGGGTTTTTAGATCCTTCGATATGCAATTAATTTAACCTGTGATTGTTAAGATGTTACACTACTGTTCTAAAAGTTGGTTCAAAATTGTGGATCTTTAATGAAGATATCCCTTCTATTGGGCAATGTCTATGTTATAACTATTAAATAATCATAGTGTTATGTCTTAAGCAGACTTCAGCGGTATATAACTTTTTACACTAAATCCCTGCAATGCTTACCTTTGAGCCATGGTCTCCCGTGCGCTGGCGATTAGTGCGTTGACGGTCATGTCCACAGGCACAATGTTGGCTATGCAGTCAACATTGGCGTAGATGGAGTGCAGAACTCCGCAGCCAGCTCCTACCACAAGACCTGTCGGACCGTACAGGTTGTCTGTCCAACCAATGAGGGGCTCATAAGCTGTGCCCACCACTGAAACAGACCAATCGTCGGATTAGAGAAGCATTTTGCTGGAAATAAGTTTGGGGGATATGAAATGAATGGGTTATACATGCAAGTATGTACTTGCTTCAAGATTACCCATTTTTATGAATTTTATCTTTTACTTCAAGAAACGCAACGAAATAACACCTCTAACCAACCCTTGCAGCAAAGCTAATAGTTTTTTTAACTAGTATGTACAACTGTAACATCCATTACAGTATTAAAAAAGAGTGTATAATATGTAGAGTGTGTCAGGCTTTGCAGCCAAGTACACAATACACTGCTATGAACTGTGTTATTAAATTTTTGATCTGTTAAAAGTGCTCAAAACTTTTACTCTCACAGTGACAAGTTTTGAACAATAATGATTGCCACAAACATGAGTGCATACCATATTTTTATTTATATTAAAATCTCATTGTAAAACATCCAGTTTTCATTTGTGATACTTGATTAGGTTGAGACAATGTAAATGAAGCCAACGACAACAGTACTAAATGGACATATTAAAAGATTACTACACACACACACCAAAATAAGTCATCTCTTAAACTGGGGTGGTACAAATGAATTGATGATTGCAATTTTTTGTTAGTAAAGTAAAACTGTATATTTACTACTAAGTCAACAAGCCAAAATAAAGTAAAATTCTCTGAAAATAATGTGAATGTTTTGAAAAGCTTACCAATGGCTGGTCTGAAAATAGTAACTGGAAGTATTTTTGTGTAGTCTTTGACAACATGTTCAGCAACAGCTTTAGTGAATGCATAAGTATTCGGCATCTCTCCTAACAATCTGAAAAAGAACTCAAAGTTTATGTTGTTGCCCTTAATCTGATTTTTATACAAAAGTATTTCACAAGAAAGGTGTTTTGTGATAAGTATAATCAAAATTATAAAAGTAGACATTATTAAATCAATTTATTTCATTAGGTTTGAGATTTGATTGGTTTACTGAGCATTTTTACTCACTTTGGCAACATGGCCTCTAACAGATCGTCATCATCAACATGTTCTATGATCTCCTTGAGTCGTTGGTGGCTGATCGGGGCTGGATAGAGGGTCTCGTCAATAACACTCAGGTGGCAGTTGGCATACGCAGTTGATACGTGGATAAAAGCCTGAAAAAATACATGACTTCTAAGTTAAGGTCTATGATAAATTGTATGACTGTCTTGTGAGTTATTTGATGATCCCAAGCTCATTTCCGCAGATGCTGCAGCTTCAAATATCTTACTTATTTCTGTTGTACAGTAGTATTTTTTTTCATTGTTACTAAACTGTCTAAAACTAACTATCATAATAGTAAGAATGATCACTGAAAATCTTTGCTGGACATGCGGCGAAATCAGCAATAGCAGAGTTATAAACAACTCTTTCAAGAACAATGTAGTTTATTTTATATTGTAGGTATTGTTAGTCTTGAAACCAACAAATATTGTACATGCATAAGCGTTCAAATTATGCGAACAAAAAGTGATATTGTATGCTGTCTTCGAGTGAACAAACGAACGTCGTTGAGTTGAGAGCAGGACAGAGGGGGCTGATGTGAATTAATGATTTCTGGAGTGTTTTGACTAAGCCTGAATGAAAGTACAGCTTATTGTAAGTTACAGTGTCTTTTATGTAACATCAATCTATCAATGTAACAAAACCTACGAGAAGAAATAGAATTTTAGACTGTATAGGCACGCCCTGTGATTGCCATAGTAAACTTTTGTCTTTTTTTAATAAAATAAGAAATAGCTGCAGCGCTGGTCAACATGTCTACTTCAATACCTTATGTGAATCCAGACTTAAGTTTATTCTGAACTTTTTCTTGCAAACATTAAACACTATCTACCCACATGTTTGTTAAATATTCAAAATATATTTAGAGACTAACTTTTAAATTCTTCATCTCCTTAGCCAGGTTGAGCATCTCTTGAGTCCCGCGCACGTTGATGTTGTAGGCTGCTCGGAGTTTCTCGTCAAAGCGTACAGTGGCCGCGCCATGGAACACGACCGACACCTCCTGTGTCAGGATCTGTCTGTCGTGGTCGCTGAGTGCCAGACCTGGTGCAGAGATGTCACAGCCGATACCTGTCACTTTGAAACGGTATTTGGGCTGCTCCTGCTCCAGCACGGAGAATAGCTGGGAAAAAGTTATTTATGCTATGACAATATAACATATGCAATGGTAGAATATCTAAAACTATAACTGTAAGGTCAATAAAACTGGTATGTGGGCTGTTCCTGCACAGAGAACAGCTGTTGCAAACAAAAACAGATGTTAAAACAATAACAGTGTCCAAAATGTAAAATCTAATGCATAAAACAGCTGTAAAAACCATTGAAATCCATGAGAGATCAGTGAATCAAAGCGGTGAAGCCAAAATAAACTGTATAATTAATATATAAACAGCTGTTAAGATTATTAAAACAGAATTCTAAACCATTACACAGCTGTAAGATTTTAAAAAAGTTTTTAAAATCAGGATTCAGATTTCAAGATGAGATCAAAAGTAAATGCTGAGAATATCATAACAGAGATTAGGGAATGTTGGATTCTGATTTTCAAAATCCTCTTTCACTGGTGTCAAAGTGATATTTGCACTAAATTTAAATGTTTTTGTTTCAACATAGTATAGTACCAATATTCCACTGAATTCATCAAAATGAACTAAATTACTATTGTTACAATTAATTATCCATTCATCGCAAACAATTATTAGAAAATAGTTTGATTTTAAAAACCTTGCTAGATTATATCAACAAAAACCTTCCCAGTTCAACACTCTTTCTTTTGAAAATAAATGTAAGTATTTCTTTTATTTATGTTACTGTGTTACACCGTGTTAACGGTGTTAATGAGACTATCTCAGACAGTGTCAATTGTATTGAGACATCAATGAATGTCCCTGAAAAATGGAAAAAGGTAATAAGAAAAAACAGGAAACAAAGTAAATTCAATGTTAAAATGTCTTCTCACAAGCAAACCGTTGTAAACTGTACTAATCGGTTTAAAGTTCTTGAGAGGGAAAATAATAATGTAAATAATAATAATAATGTAAATGTATTAAAACCTCTCCACCCCCTCCACAAACCTATCTCAAAATCAAAGAAAAAACAACAAAAGGTGAGCAAGTCAAAAAAACAAAAAATAATAAATACTTTTGTAGTAGAGCCTAGTACCTCTCTCCCGAGCCCTAGACCTGAGCCTAATAATCCTTCTCACGAGACCTTACCTCACCTGAAAATATATAGTGATAGTCACGGTAGGGGTCTCTCTTGGATCTTAGGGGAGAAGTTAAAAAGTAGTTTTAATGTGTCTGGTACTGTTAACGCTAATGGTAATATGGAACAGGTACTAGCTGGTATCGATAAAGACAGACGTCTAGGTAGTGGAAATGTAATTGTTATTATAGCTGGTACCAACAATTTTGATGTGACTGGACGCTGTAACAGTTTTTTGCCGGAGCTAGATTCTTTCTTAAAAATTGTGTCAAATCCTGGGATTATTCTTGTTGGCCTACCACCTAGACATGACTCTCCTTCCATGAACCCTGTTGTGGACAGAGTAAATAATGACCTCTTATCCCTGTCAAATCGTCACCAACATGTCTCCTTTGTATCATTGCAGTCTCTATCCCGCAACCAGTTCACCAAACATGGGTTACACCTCAACATGAGAGGAAAAGTAGCCCTAGCCGAACTAATAGCTGCTTCCTTAACAACTCCACCTGGAGTACGTTCCCCAATCACCTGCCCCCCTCCTGCTACCCGTACCTTAAAGTCACAGAAAACCCCTTCCGACACAATCCCTACTAATAATCGAGTCAGTTCTTTCCAAGCCCATAGATCATCTACCAAACGTGTTTTTGTCAATAAACATTTTTTAGGAGAAGCCCAAAAACCACCCGAAATCCCCTGGGCAATCTATCTCAGAGGAGGGTGGGGTCCGCGCACACAAGCCTCAAGTTCCTGCATCAAAATATAAGAGGATTGTTAAGCAAAATAAACGAGTTGGAGATATTTGTTGACGATGAATGTCCAGACTTTATCTGTCTAACCGAACACTTTTTAAAAGCAGAAGAAGCTGAAAACTCCGCAATCAACGAATACATGTGCATAACATCTTTCTGCAGATCAGGAATGAAAGGCGGGGGAGCCGGCATATGGGCCAAACCCGGAGTTGACTGCAAACCTCTTGATTGTGATGAGTTCTCAAAAGAGGGTATTTGTGAGCTTGCTTCTGTTTCAATAACCATAGATGATGATGAGACAATTTTGCTGTTGGCTGTATATAGACCCCCTTCAAACATGCATGCAGAGTTTTTCGATATTATAACTGACTGTATCAATAAATATTATAATCGCCACAACACAATTGTTGTTATGGGTGACATTAACATAAACCTTGCTTGTGACACACTTATTGCTCAACAGCTTACGTCAAACCTGGCCTCATTTGATCTTCATAATATTATAACAACTTACACTAGAGAAGTCAATGGGTCTCGTAGTCTCATAGACCATGTGTATACAAACAAGAGTGACGTCAAGGGCTTTGTCATAGCCTCAGGCCTATCAGATCACAGCGCTCAAACTGCAATCTTGCAATTCAATACCACTCCATTAGCTCCGAAAACCTTTTTAAAGTATGAAAGATTGTTTTCTAATTCTAACATGGACTTATTCTCATATTTTATCTCAAAAGAAAACTGGGATGAAGTTTATGATGCAGCAGATTTGCAATCCAAGTTTGACACATTTTTAAGCAAAATTAAATATTTATTCGAAAAATCATTCCCCATGAAGTACAAAAAAATCAATAAAAATACAACTAGAAAAAAGATAAAGTCACCTGAGGTTACGAAGTTTAAGGAACAGCTGTTTGCCCTATATAACAAAACAAAAAATCTTGATTCGTCCCACAACTTGGTTCACCATTACAAAAAGTTAAAAAATCAGTATAGACGTTTAATAAGACAAATAAAGTCAGAGGACACTTTAAAGAGAATTGAGGGTTCAGACAATAAAGCAAAAACTATATGGAACATAATAAATCATAGACGACCATCTACCAAAACGAATCCCACAGAAATAATTCTCAAAAATGATAGTGGCGAAGTAATCAGAGACCCCAAATGCATTTCCAATCAGCTTAACAACTTCTTTTCAGATACGGGTAAATACGTAAGACATACTTCATCCAATAATACAGATATTAATAAAAGAGCTGTTGGTTCACTCTTTTTACGTCCAACTAGCGAAAAGGAAATTTTAAGTGTCATTAAAAGTCTAAAAAATAAAAAGTCTTCAGGGGCTGATGAAATATCTCCGTATTTACTTAAAAAGATTGCACCATATCTGATAAAACCCCTATGTCATTTAATTAACACTTCATTCTCTAGTGGATCGTTTCCCCAAGCGCTGAAGGTGTCAGTGGTCAGGCCTATATTAAAAAAAGGAGATCCAACGCTTTGCAATAGCTATAGGCCCATATCAGTAGTGTCTGTGTTTTCAAAGATATTTGAAAAAATCATGGTGATAAGGCTGTGGGATTTTTTCAGGACAAATAATATCATATCCGAAAACCAGCATGGATTTACAAAGGGCAAATCTACCACTTCAGCGATGTTTAAATTAATAAACAAGGTGGTTTGTGAATTAGATGCTGCAAACTATTCTGCTGGTTTATTTTTTGACTTAAGCAAAGCCTTTGACATGGTGGACCATAACTTATTGCTCAAAAGAATGAGCAATGTGGGCGTGAGAGGATTGGCTTTGGATTGGGTCAGGTCATTTCTTTGTGACAGGAGTCAATATGTAGAGATAAGGGCAGTAGATGAGGCTGGGTGTGTTAGATCCTACCCTTCTGCTGAGAATTCTGTTGCAAGGGGGGTTCCTCAAGGCTCCGTCCTGGGACCAGTCCTTTTCCTAATTTTTATTAACAACCTTTCTTCCTGCACAACATCCTCAAATCTATCATTGTTCGCCGACGACACCTCTCTTTCGATTTCTAGCTCTGATTTTCTCAATTTAGAACAAATTAGTTTTTTGGAAGCAAACAGTATAATCCAATGGTTTGACGACAGCTCATTGAAAATTAACACAGAAAAAACACAACTCATTAACTTCCGCTTATCAAATCGCGCAAATGGATTCAGTCTCCTTCTCGACGAAACCGAAGTTCATCCAACACCAAATGTCAAGTTTCTTGGATTGATCTTGGACGAGAAACTTAGTTTTCATGGCCATATGAAACACATTGCAAAGAAACTTAGCTCTGGTATTTTCGTTTTGCGTAACCTCAAGAACAATGAAAATCTGGAGGTACTGCTGACTGCATACTATGGGCTCATTTATCCCCACTTAGCATACGCCGTACCTATTTGGGGATGTGAGTGCCAGCAGACCAACATTTTGTTTAAACTTCAAAAAATGGCTATGAGGACTATTTTCTCTTTGCAGAAGCGTAAATCATGCCGTAAATATTTTGCTCATTCAAAAATTTTGACATTTCCATCCATTTATATTCTTGAATCCTTAACATTTGTAAAACAAGAACTTGCTCAATTTAACGTTTCTGTCAAAAACCACTACACTTTGCGAAACTCACACACATTACCAATCCCTAAACATTCTACGACATTTTTCAAAAGACACTTACAGTACAATGGAATAAAACTTTTCAATTCTCTTCCACTTTCTCTTAAGCTAGAACCAAACCTTCCAAAATTTAAAAAACGATTAAAATCTCTTTTGATAAATTTTACCTCTTACAGCGTCCAGGAATTCATAAATCATATCAGCTCTAGGAATGCCATTGTAAATGTTCATTTATAAGTCTTTGATGCAATTTGTAGTATAATGTAAGCCATTTTGTAAATACCTGTATAATTGTAGATCTATGTAAGGCATCTTTTAAAAATAATGTGACTTAGCTAATGCAACTTGTTTTGTTAAAATTTTGGCTAAATAAATGATTTGATTTGATTTGATTTGATTTGTATGATGGCATAAATAAATAAGTTCATTCATAGGAGGGGTTGTGCCAAGCTAAGTGACACATTCAGTATAACCACCCACTGAAGTCTCCAAAGAATACTTTAAGTCATTCATTGAAGCGACCAGGTTTACTTTCTTCTAAAGTTAATATACGTCTTTAAACAGCCTTAAAAGGTCTGAATTTTCTTGATTCATTTTATACTTGAGCTGTAGTTGTTGTAAAATGGAAATTGTGTTTTTACCTAATAATGAAGCACCTGGCAGGCTGAGCTTTTTCTCTCAGACTGTGGGAAAATTATTGTATTCTAAAGCTTAGTCATTGCTCAATAGTACCCAATCAAAAATACTTCAATTGATTTGTTATCTGTTAAAATAACTGTAGTTTTAAGGTGTTAATCGATTTTAAGTTACAAAAATTACAATAAATAACGTTTTTACCGGATCCTGGAATATCTCGTCCAGCCTCTGATGCATGTTCTTCCCCTTCTTCTCTCTCACCAGCAAGTATACCTGGTGTATGTCAGGGCAGCTTCTCAGTAACTTCTCCGTCAAAACTTTACCCATGAAGCCGGTCGCTCCCGATATCAACACGGTTGCATCCCGGAAGCTCTCCGGGATAGTGTCCTTGGGGATTATCTCCATAGCTTTATCCTGAAACTAATTTTGGTGACTTTAGTAAAGGTTTACAATATACAAAGTGTACAACAAGTTTTATTTATTTATTTTGTTCATATTGTCTCTCACATTGATCATGTTTAGAAATTTACTATCATAAATATAATATCATTTATGTTTGGAGTATTTACTTAGTAGAGCAAGGGCTTAGACTATATTGGACGATTTATCTAATATCTACTAAAAGTTGTAATATAAGTCGTCAAGCAAGTAGCCGTAATCACTCTCAATCCTCATAATAGGCTTTTAGAATAAATTATCTTTTGAATTTTTGTACTTTATTTACTAAGGTCTACTAAAGTGCTTGACGTTTTGTTTATGTACTATTGTTTTTACTAAGTTACTAAGTAAGTAATGTTCCAAGTAAAGTAACTGAACACTTTAAAACCCCTGAATCATTCAGATGGTTGAATATTATGATACAGTATATAGTGTTTAAACTAGTACTATTTAGTTAATAGTCTAAGCACTTCCTAATGGCATTACAAATATATCTTTAGGAATAAAATAGTAAAACTTCCCCTTTTCATGAAATACGAAATTGCCAGATAAATCATTCAAGCTAGAAGGAGATATAAACCATTCAAGTAAACCTATCGTAAAAAGGTCCTTGCTCCTTGCTCCTCGCAACCATAAAACCAGTCAATGCAGCAAAACATACTGTTACAAAGTTATAGGAATGCTAGAATAAAGTTATAAATCTAAAAAGATGCCCAGACAACCTTACTACTATGCTGTACAGGTTACATAGCTTGCAAGCCAACCCCGATGTTTGAATGTTCACAATCGTGTATTTTACATGGAAATCTGAATTCAAATAACCCAAGACTGAACGGAATAATAATAGGCTACCTTGCTACGAGTTGCGCATTCATTGCCTCTAAAGTTGACGTTTTTGAGCGGATTATTTGATAATACTCATATCATATATGTGATTTAAGACAAGATGTTAAAAGTGCATCCAAGCAAAAAGGTAAATAAGTAAAATAAAAACTTGAAATTAATGAGTATTGTATAACATAGTGCAGGAGTGTCAATCTTTGACATGTATTTTATTTTGGTGGTGGTTGTTCAATGTTTTGGTCTCATTTGAGCATACAATATACAACAGTTGCCAATTTCAAATTTACAGACTAATAATTAAACGTTACCTTAACAAATAAAATGTAAGTAAGCCAATGTGTAATAATTTGTTATGAAAGTCACAAGAACATCAATTTTAATTTTTACGGAAGAAAATATTTATTTTCCTTATTGGTAGTTTATTTCCTTACAAATTCGATTCAAAAATATTATATTCTTATTGAAAAAACTTTTTATCGCAAAATGATAATATTGGTTGTACTGCATTACTTGCTTACGCAAAAAATACCCCGGCATGTTCTTGCATAGTAAATGCTTATTTCCCTCTAAAGGTAATTATTTTCCTTGCAAATATAATTGTTTACCTTATTTTTTTTATGAACAAACTCATACATTCTAAAACGATAATGAAGATATAGTTGATGGTCACTGGTCATAACACTCATACACCAAAAACATTAACTAACAAAATAAATTTTAAAAATGTTTAAAGATCTGTGATTGTTGCACAGAAGTGCCGAAACATGAACTAATCAAACACATCAATAAGAAAAAGGGAAGGTTCATTTTTACACACAAACTCACAAAAAAAACTTTACAAAACAAACCAGTATAGTTTCTGGTCACACATAACCTAAGGTTATTCACAGATAAGTATCCCACAAAGTGCGAAATTAATGCAAATCTGATTCAGAGGTGATTGCAGGTGAAGTTGCCAAGCCGGTTGTTATGTGAGAGATAGCCATTTGCTCGACGCCCTCTGACCTAAGGACCTTGGACTTCTGGAAGGACGAGACTGGTCAGAGGACACTTGGAATAGTGGAGCTGGAATTTTAAATGCTGTCCTTGTCGTCGAGTGCATTGAGTTCAGTTGATAATGTTGCAATACGTTTTATTTTGGATATGCTCGAGGTAGCATACTTTTTTACAGATGGTAATAATGGTTTTGTCAGGAATGTACATGTAGACCTAATATACACCATTTTTAATGTTTAAAAACATATATAGTTGTGCAAAAGTAGGTATTCAGTTGAAGGTGGTTGGTAATAAATAGTTACTGTACTTTTAAAATTAAATTGTATATGTTTGAGTTTGAGTATGCACCTAAAAACATAGCACGTCTTCCATTACGTTCCTACTTGGCCTTATAAAGTTGTAGGCTTGCTTAGAAACTATCATTTTCTATTAGCTATTTCGTCATCACATGAATTTTGCCTCCGTCGTGCATTAAATGATTATAGCCCTGGTTTGAATAAAATATCATGGTTAGTACAGCAGTGCATAGTTATATATATTTAGGTAATTTTATGAATATAAAAATAAACTTTGTTACACTCTTATTCTTTAAGTTTACTTTCCATAATAAATTGTTCCTCATTTATAAGATAAACTAAACTCGTCTAATACACAAACTCCTCACTTTCCTCATTTTATTTATTCTTGAACCTCAATGTGTAACCAGCACAGTAAATAAAAACTACCCACAGCTAAATATTACTTCCTACAGCCACTTCCCATTAATCATTGAAAGACGAAAATATATGATTGGCCCAATCGGTTTTTTTTACTCAATCAAACTGAGGAAAAATGCAAACGCACTGGTATGCAAATGCACCATAGGGAAGTGTAAGTTGTGATTAAAGTGAAATAAGGAAAGTTGCATGATTTATGTTAGCTACACTTGATACACGTAACTATAGTAGTTCACCTTGATGATACTGACTACAAAGTAGAAACTTGCCCACGCTAAGTGCACTTGCACCTTGAAATGTATCTATTTAAATAGAATTACAGTTTTTTGTTGTAAATCGCCTGGATTAATGTAACGTTTTTGCGCTTTACAATGTAGTGAAGTCAAACAAGTATATTTTCAATTTCAGTTTGTTTGTATGTTGCCTGTTCGTTGAAACGGATAATTTGTTGGCATTTTAAGGGAAGATAAGATTAAGTCTACCGTTGTTTTGAAACGTGTTCAGTCTTGTTTGTTTTCTGATGTTTCAAAAGGTTTTAGGATAATTATGACTGGTCTTTGACCCTTGGTATTGAAATTAGGTTTACACACCTTATATGTTAAACCATAGATTAAGCATACTCCCTTAGGGGCATGCTTAATATTTGGTTAAATTTTGTGCATACCTACAGTATTTTCTTTATGATTCACGAAAACCCCGGTTTACGGATAACAAAGCAAGTGCGTTTTCTAAGTTGTTACGCGTAGTTAGTTGCGTATTCTAAATGTATACATTTATTGGATCGTATTAATGTACTTGATTATTCAAAATTCTTCTTAGAGCTATGCTTCAATTAGTTTCAAACTGTCTGTGCTATTTTTATGGAAGGTACTATTTTGTTTTGGCACACACTTGATAATGAAAATGTAATAAATAGCGTTTTAGGAACAATCAGTAAATGTGATAATAATCATAGAAGTGACAGAAGCCATTTACAGCTGATTGAAAGAAAAGAAATTGAATAAAATGCCATTGATTACATGTCACTCTACATTTAAAGGGTTTACGCATGTTTGTTTTTGTAGTCGACTAAAACTAGTTGTTTTACAACTGAAGACTTAAATGTCGTTGCAATTGTTTCAAAGCGAGTCTAAAGCCACTAGTTAGACTATATTTATCTTTCGATTCGCTTTAAGTTGTCAGGAAGTAGTGGATAAAGAACAGCTGTCTCGTTCATTGTAATCAGTGCCGGGTCTGTGCCAAGCGAAGTGACGCATTCAGTGTAACCACCCACTCAAGTCTCCAACGCGGCCTTCTGAAGGAGCTGAATAGGATGTACTTATTAGATTAGCCTCAAATGAGGCATCCAAATAATTTCCAGGACCACTTCATCAGCATCGGATTATCAATACTAAAATAAGAACCTCTGCAAGAGCTAAGGCTAACAAAAAAGTAGGGACTTAAAACATATTTCAATTTCTTTCTCTGTGAAAATAAAGAGGGCACCGATCTTATAATTAGTTATAAAGCAAAATATTAGGTCTGACTTCATAATTTAGTATAAGAAATCAAACTAAGGATTCATACAGACAAATTATGGCGATTAATACATACCTTTACAAGTTTTGAAAATGTTATAACATTCAAAGAATATTGAATACAAAATAGTCTTTTGCTTTGAATGCAATTCAATTCACTTTGCTTTGCTGTGTAGCAAAAGTCAAAATGGCTTGATAGGTTTTTCAGAAACTATAATAGCATCGTTTACAAGGAAATTAAAACATAAACAACCACTAAATACAGTTGAGTCATGGGATTTTATTTAAATTTTGGATTTTTCGAAAAGCAATAGATCTAATAATAATACAGGTCACTTTCACATACATTGTTTTTTTGTATTTAAGGGTAGACTAATAGTGATATTTATAGATATTTTTAGTTTTTCAACCCGGAAAATATTCCGTGTATTTAATTGACTGTTTACATCACAAGCAAAAACACACTGGTTGGATATTTAAATCATTCATAAGCAATAATTTGAAAATGCATTAATGATGTGTATTTTTTTATTTATATAGCAAAAAAAAAATGTACTCACACACACTTACTATAAACAACAGTCTCATTAGTCAAATCTGGTTTTGCCTAAGTAGGTTAAGAAGTGGTAAAATAAAAACCAGGTTAATTGGTGAAATAAAGTAAAAACGTATTGTTTTTTTTTTAATGTGATGTCACTATGGGCCTTTAAAATTGATCTAGATTATTGAGGTTAATGGATTGAGTTCCGGTCTCCAGATTGTAATCAAATGGAATGTTGATACGATTTAGATCACAAAATTTCTGTGTTAAAACTTTGTAATATGTTAATATAATACAATACTAAAAAACATAAAGCTACCTATATCCATTTTAAAAATATGTTTATTTTTGTTTTATTTCCGAGTCTTATAGCTGTTATAAAACGTAATTATACGTATATTTAAAACGTTTTACTACAAACTTTTTAAATATACTTCATACTTATTACTACGGCACAGACTATAAAAGTTGACTAAAATACAAAATACCAATACCAGGAAATTTCGAAAGAATCCAATGATATTAACATTTTGTCTGGAATAATGTGAAAGAAATTTAGCCTTGAGCTGTTCGTCTAAGCCATATTTAATGGACTTTGGAAAACAACGTATTTAATAATGTCCTTCAAACTTTCCTTGTCAATCAAAAATTTGGCTTAGTAAGTCAGAAAATTACTAGACCAAGACTTGCAGTCGGATTATCTTTGAATACAAGTGAAAGTGTTGGTAATCTTTGAGTATTTGTCTTTTAAACCTCTTAACTAGATGCTATTTTGGACGGTAGATAAATAAGATTAAGGGGTTTAATTGGCCTTTCTTTTATTTTATGAATTAAGATATTGTCTCCTTACATTATTTACCGTGAATACTTCATTTGCTGCCATCATATCACTTGTTATTTTGCTTTTGTATTGTTATAGGAAATATACCTATAATATTTTAACATACATTTTAACCATGCAAATTGTATTGATATAGCACATAAAAAACGAATATTAAATACTATACAGTTATACCCCTTGTTTCCAACTAATTATTTTAATGACTAAACATAAGTAAAATATTTTTGATCAAGATTATACAAGACGTAGTCAAACGTTACTATAAAGTACCCTACCTTAAAATTATCTTTGACTATTGACAGACCACTAAAACCAAAAGACACTGTTGTAAAATAAATATGAAAAATAAGGAGGAATGTGGTTCTTTCTATAAGGTGAGTCGTAGAAGCATTTAGTCCAGAAATCACTGAATACCGTACATACTAATTTGAGCTATATCGGTTGGTTGGGGAAGTGTAAGTAATCAACTAACTGGAAACCTCGTGTTGCATTTTTTTTGTTTACACAATAGTATATAGTACGAACTCGACATAACTAATACCTACAACTTACAGGAAGTAGATTCAGCGCTGGGTTGGTAAGTAGTCCAAAGAACGTACCTAACCTCCTTTGAGTCTGGAGGCAACAAACTACCAGTAACCCACTTGGACGATCCTTACTTGGAGAAGATCTTTCTACTGAGGTTCATCAAGTGACTTGCTACATGGGTAAATGATTGTGCCTAGAAACCGCGGGAAGGCCAATGACGCGGGAAAACTTCAATGTCATTAAATGAGGCATCGTTCATCATGTCAGGGTCAGAATTTCCCTTACAGATGTTATTTTTGGTTGCATCGAAAATAAAAATTCACCGTTTAGAGGTGGAAGTTTTCCGTAAGTGATTAGGATTTTGAGGGATCGTTGAAAGGCTGTTGGACAAATCTTTGGATGTAACTTAGCCATTAGGCGAGTAGATATTACCACCACTTTAGCTAAGAAGGATTACTTCTGACTTTTATTTTCTCTTTATAAATTGTGTTAGGTAAATAAATCAGAAGTAATTATCAAATTCTCAGTTGGATATAAAAGGCAGAGATAAGAACTTAAAATGAATAAAATTTGAGAGAAGATTCTGGTACTTAACAGCGTAATAGAGATTTTATTGCACTCTAAGGTAATTTTCTTGGACATGAGTGAGTGTAAAAAAACTGGATCTTATAAAAAACGAAAATCTAACTAAAAACGAAAACCTTACAAACAGGAGAAGATCCGAGGATTTTATGATTAACGATCATAAATCTTCATCAAAATTCATGATTGTTAAATCATGTTCTCGATCTCTAGCATAATCTTTTTTCCAGTTAATGACAAATAATATTTATAGTCTTAATGGTGGTAGCAGTTTTGATGTTAGTGAGCAAAAATTATCAAAAAATAGAAAACACCAAAAAAGGAACATAGAACGAGATAAAAGAGTTTATAGTTCAATTTAATTAAGATCAAAACTAAGTATTTTTATTATATAAGAAAAATGTGGTAACTGACAACTTAAATTTCGTCTAGGTCTACAGACTAAATCTTTTAAATTTAACTGACTCAAGATCTGCACAAACTTCCGGATTTCAAACCCATTAAAAGTCCTGAGGGTTTCAAATAAAGTAAACAGGAAATTCTAGTTCTCCATTTCCAGGGAATGTATCTCATAGATCAAATAAATATTGTAACCCTAATAGCTTCCGTATTCTCTACAGAAGAAAGCACATCAACTTAATATATCAAAGAACTACAAAATGTTAAACTGTAAACACCAATCAAATTTCTGAAAGGGTTCCTTATAGTGATGTTAACAAGAAATTCTCTTTCTCTAGAAGAAAACAACTCATCTCACACTTAAGAAATATTTGAACTTTAACTTCCGTTTTGTTTCTAGACGTAAACATATCAATATAATCTCAAGATCTAAACGATGTTAAGCACGCTTGTCTGCGGTTGAACTCCATCGCCCAAGGTTTCCAACGCGACGACAACAACAACAACAACAACTACCTGAGTTATCCGCTACAAGTTGTTGTTGGCGACCAGCGGTCTACAGCGGCGGATGATGCAACTGGAACCAATTGGTGAAGAAATTGATGTTGTAATGTGCGTGAGGCGGACTGAACAAGGATAATGGAAGTATCGACTCCGACACATGTTGAGGTCTTGGAATGTAGAGGTCTTAGGGACAAGAAGCGGTAAAACACTACAATGTTAAATAGAGTGTGTCGTTAGCCTAGATTTCTGCGATGGGTTCGAAAACCGGCTTATTCACAAAGATTTCGACGGTTTGGACGGAACTAACTAAAAAGAATACCTATTTGATTATTTTACACAAAACAACTGATATTACCAAGGAATAAATTACAAAAATATAAAATTCAATTTACATGAGTAAAAATTAGTTAAAAACTAGTTTGGATGTGCAAATAATTTCTTCTAAAATAAGAAAAAGTTAGCGAAGAATATTTAAGGATATTTTAACATGGGGTGAGCTTGATCCCAATTTGATAAGCTATTTGATAAAATTATTGACCGTTTGATTTTTTTTTTGCGAAGGGGCCTAACTCGTCTTGCAGCTTCCCTGGTGTATCGGATACGTGCTAATCTAATCTTAGTATGTTCAAGCACAATAACGCGTTTAGTTTATTCTGTTTTCTTGTCTAGAAATCCTGGAGGTCCTTATGGATTAAATTTACCCCTATTTTTAGAGTGAATCTAAAAACAATGCTATTTAGATAACAGAGGGTGAGCAACCGGGGACAAATATAATATTGTGTATGGTTAATCAAATGTTTGGCACCTTCACTTGTATTTGCTCATTTCTAATAATTCATGTAAAGCTTCTTGGTCGACGTAAAAGTAGGATCCATAATCTTGTAAAATCCTATTAAGTTTGTTAAGAGCATCTAACTTTAAACTCACTCAAGTAAAAGTAGGTCAATGTTTCCACAGAAGTTTGTTTACATTTCAAACTACTCAGGAACAAAACCGTCCTTGGATTGAACGGTTGAGTGGATTGAGTAATTAAAGAGAGCAAAACTCGCGCTGCAAAGACAATTTGGTTTCGTGTTCAAAGTAGTGACGTCAGAGTAAATTCTATCACGCAACTAGTTGATGTCATTAGTAAGTTTCTAGTTGCCCAAACATAGCAACTTAAACAACAGGGAGTATTGTTATCTTATTGTAAATCTGAAGACTGTTTTGATGTTGTTCGTGTCCGGGTAGGCTACACCTAGAGGGCTAGTTTATAAACTATATAGCTTATATAGTTAGCAAATGTATAAAGTAAGTATGTATATTGTAAGTATTGACGTTTAACCAAAAAGTAGGGAAAACGGAGCCAAATATTCATAAAATGGAAGAAAGTTCTGTTACGAACAAACTCAAACGTAACGAAAAATTAAACACAAAAAACCCATTCTCTTGATGTTGCAATTGGATGAAAAGTCAACTTGCGGATTCCAAAGGCAATGTTTTTAATCTACGGTGATGTACAGGTCAATAATGTTACCGTTGTGTCACTTAATCTTACTATGTAATTAAGGTAACTCTCGGTTAATATGTAACAGTTGTAATAATTTAGTTGCCTTATATTTGTTGCTCAGTAAACAAATTAACTATCAACAAAGACAATAAATGTTTATTTGTTTAATTATGTTAAATTGCATACCAATTTTATCGCATCACATTACATATGAAAAGGGTTACTCCTGGAGATTTTATAAGCTTCCACGAGGATTGTACCGAAACAAAAATGCAGCAGGGTTCAACCATTCCAGGAGGTCATGGCCGCACTCGGTCACGGTTAATCTAGGATGCGGTTGTGGCTCCTGGGATAGCGGCTCCTTCACTCCTTCATTTCTTCTTCTCCTTCAATCACGTGACTGTAATTTATTTTGCATCAGAAACTCGTTGGCATATGTGAGTTTTCCGAAACTCCTTGTTCATTTTTTTTACTTTTCGCCGATTGCGTTTTAGTTTTAAATTATTGTTTGCTGTATCAGATATGTGAATGTGATTTGATTTCGTTTGACAACAGTAGATTAGGATATGCGAAAAATATATTTATTCTTTGAAAAAAAAAATGATGTATGTTTTTCGAATTATTGATTTTGTAATTTGTACTGTATATTTGTGTGTTAGGGCCACTGTGAATAACAGAACTATAAATTTAGTTAGTTTCTTATTTGCCTATACCTAACAATATCTAGGTCGCTGGATTGTGTGTTCACCTGGTAATGCGGAGCTTGCCGGTTCGTTTCCGAGAAAAGTTTTAAGATTCGAACCTTACTCAGCTGTTGAAAATTAGGCATGTAATAAACAATCCTGGCTGAGGAACCAGCTGATCTTAGTCTGTAACAAAGCTGTCATCTCATTCATACAACACTCATCCTTCACTTCCCCTTAAAAATGCCCACCCAGGTGTCAGCGTCTAAACCTATCTCTATAGTGATCTCAATATGAAGGTTGGTGGACTGTTCATAGAGCTAACAAGTAATGATTATTTTACCATAGTCGGATAATATTGGCATCTAAAAAATAGATTAATTAACGTAGAGCAGTAAATAATACGTACTACAGTCCGATCACAAAATGTAAGTGATTTGAGGGGAAACTATTCCATCCCCTCCTACTCATCCCAACTATGAAACAACAGCTGACAGCATCAGCTGATATAAATGTTAACCTAAAAAGAGGGATGGTGAAACCTCCCCCTAAATTTTCTGAACGGACTTTAGTACTAAAATACTAGACATAAATGAAGGGTTTATCAAACACACTTCTTTTGATTGTCATCCCAAAAAGTCTTATTCTGTTTACTGCGACGGGGACGCAAGGTTTAAAGGTAAATGTGTATGTAAATTCTTCATCTTTGTCTTGTTATAAAAAAAAAAAAAAAACTTTATAACAAGACAAAGATGAAGAATTTACATACACATTTACCTTTAAACCTTGTCTCGAAAAAGCCAATACCGTTATGTTCAATTAAATAATATACTTCGGTACTGTGCAAGTTTACCAACTTTAAAATATTTTCATACAACTATCTGGATATCATCTCAAGAAAGTCTGCTTCCGCTAATCCACTAACTAGTTAAACTCTTTGACAACACTGTTGCTTACATTGTAAGATCATTATCCACATTTGGAGATACAAGTAGCAAACAATGGTAGCGACTTGTCCACTCCCAGCTGTTTATGGATCAGCTGTGAAGGTCAAGTTTACAGCTGATTCAGGAAGAGCTGTCTGGGTGTGCAAGGACAACTGGACGAGTTTTGCCCTCAACATGTTTCGTTCTCAATCTATATCGCGGTATCATTGACATTAGCGATTATGTAGGCATTATGTAAAATACCGTCTAGATGTGATGTAATTTACTAAATGATGTCTTATTTACCATGCGTTTTCAGTTGATTAGACATTGATATATTATTACAGTAACTTTTTGTGAAATTGTTTTTTCTACTGTTTTAGATCATGCTAAATGCATTTTTATGCATTTAGCATGATCTAAGGTTGTTGTTTTTTTCCTTTTTTGTGCATAATGTTTATCTTAGATCTGTAAATTTATGAATATGAGTCATTACAGTAAACATAGCTTTAAGCTTTTGAATTAAAGTGTTTTAAA